ATTAGTTTTCAGTGTCATGTCAATTTTATTTTATCAGTTCATTTTCAGTATTGAATATAATAGAGAATGTAGAGATTTGGGAGATGTTGAATCGGTAAGTAACAAAGTAAATCTAGGGTGTAATTTTCCAGCAAAATTTGCATATTTTATATGTATTTGTATATATTTGGTGTACTGATGGTTTTGTGCTTTTTAATATGAAACATATGGAAGTGTGTCTATTGTTGAATACAACCTGTATACAGATTAAATGTATTGTATAAATGACTGTAATTCTTAATTCTGGGATATATATGCAACATATATGAAGAAGGGGTTTCATTAGTTGTTGGAATTTCTTTATTCTCAAATTCTGAGTTGAAAAACTAGTGAACCGAGCAGAAGCAAGATCATGCCTACAATACATTGATTCACCTTGATCATTGACTCACTTGGCATCAAGTGAAATCATTGATTAATTAAAATAGATTTTGTTTATGTTTTGGCTTATTGCTCCATCATAGGAATCTCAGTTTAAGTTCACCATCACTTTATTATGAAACCTGAGGAGAAAGACAGCCTGAAGACCAAGACTAAATACTGTCTGGTAATGAACCACTCAACTGTGGTTCATTAAAAACTCTTTTTTAAAATTAGATAGCATGCTGCTTAATGCTACATTGCTGAAGGCTAGGATCAGTTTTCAGTTAAAGAAATTGTTTAATATTAGACATACTTTTGCAAAGAGCCAAGTTCTGTTTTGGTAACTTTTTCTGTCTTAAAAGCAGAAGATACTGAGTGAGTGACTTGTTTAGAAATACCTTTGTTTCTCAGCCTATGCAGACATTACTATATAGTGCAAATTCAGATTGCAGCTTCAGCTTTGGCCAAAGCAAATAAAAATTTATGTTTTCAGTACACATAGTTATGCAGGTAGCTACTTTCAAAAAAAAAAAAAAAAGAAAGCAAATCTCCAAAGCTGTCTTTTTTCTCTTTGCAAAAGTCATGCATTTGTGTGAATAGATGAATAGTACTGGACAGAATTATTATATATTAGCTACATGACACTTGGTAGATTCTGCAGTATTTCAGACCACCTGAAATACATTTTAGTAATATCAGTGTGTTTCTATGTATAAATATTCTTAGAATTGGAGTTGGAGTTACCTGGTCTGTGTCCTTTTGCTATGAATCCTAACCAGATGGAGATTTCTGGACAGAAGGGGAGAATTTTCACTTCCTCTTCATTCAGGAAAAAAAGTTAAAAATTGCTGTTATTTGTGAATACAGCATCTGTATTTGTGAATAGATATTAATTATGGTAGTACAAAATGGATCTCATGGTTAACTTTATGTAATTATTGATGCTGCTACTCGTGGAAACCAGTTATTAGTAATTGACACTTAGAATGTGTGTACTTTTTGAGGAGCAATAGCGAAGGCAGTTTCTTGTGCAAGGCCTAGTGGTATGCAAGTGTATTATTTTTCTGTGTGCTCAGTAAATCGTAGAAGTATTTTGATCAACCTGAAATTATTCCCCCCGTTTGTGCACTGAAGCAAAACCTTGAAAAATTTAGAGAACTTTGATACAACTGTTGCATATTACAGTTTTGATCTGTGTGGTGGAGAGAGAGGTGTGAATCTGTAACAATATCTCAAGCTGATCAGAACTTTGAAGTGGACTTTCTTCCGAAATTAAACACGTTAGATCATCTGAGAAACTTGATCTAAATTAGCCCTTCTCTAGTGAGGTGTTGGACTGTTGCTTACAGAGGTCCTTTCCAACCTGTGGTTCCATGCACTCTAAACCTGTTTTATTTAAAAAAAAAAACAACAAAAAACCCCACCAAAACTAAAAGAACTACAACAAATTAAATTTCTAGACACGGAAATATCAGAGCTGCTAGATGAGAAAGATTGCATTTAAAACACTTAATTTAAAACATTTAAATTTGTTAAATTTCTGGTTGACAAACTGGATCTCAAGGAAGTTGTGTGTGGTTTTTTTTTTATTTATTTTGCTTTGCTTTTGGTTATCTTTGAGAATTGGCTGTATATAACTTAACTAACAACTCATCACTGCTCATTGCGTGAGTCTCCGCATCTCATTGGGCATGCAGGCTTTTCCTTGTCATACTAAAAAAGGTATATTGAAGTAAATGGATGAAATTCTGTGTAAGAGAATGTGAAGATCAAGGTTAAATGGCTCTGGCACCATGTGTATTTAAAAACTAAGGGAAGAAGAAAATGAGTTTACCAGGAAAAAGAGTTTCAGAATACCAGAATTTGTGTGAGAGAAGACTCAAGAAAACAAGATATTGCTGAGACATGCTCTGCAATTTCATTATAGGATAACAACTCCATAAAACTCATTTCCATTAGCATCTTCAGGCCAGAAAAGCAATTTCAGACCTCAGCTAGAATGATCTTACTTCAGTAAGTACACTGTGGTACTGAGTCATCTTAACAGCGAGTCATTGTCTTATTTGCAGATTATATAAATTCCACTAATTCCTTATGCTCAGTCCACCTGCACCTGAATGATAAACTCTTTAAAGCTTTGCTCCAAAACATTCTGAAATACACTATTATTGCCACTTTTTAGGAACTGTATTAAAGTTCTTCGTCTATGTAGCAAATACATAGTTTGTTAAATATTGTAGCACAAATGAAAGGGTACATTGGAAATTTAGGGGAATAATGTAAAACATCGATGTTGAATGCTGCATACAGTCCTTACTTTATTAGTGACATTATTGGTGTTTGTATTTTGGGGTTATGGCATTTAATGATTGATAAAGACTTTGTGATGCCAGTGTAAATTCTAAAAAGAAATGCTTATTTTTTGAATTCTAGAAAATTAAAATATTCATTTCATTATGCTAGAAACTCTTGCCCTTTTATGCATATGGATTTAAAAAGAAAATAGTTCATTTATTTGAGTAATTCTCATTTAAAGTAAGTTTTTATGTATGTTGTTTGACGGCATAATTTTATTTTTTAGAAAACTATGAATTAGAATAGATATGATGTATATGCCTCTGTAGAATGATGAATACTTTAATGTAGTAGGGAGAATAAATACAATTTCAGCTATATATAAGTAATTTAATGTAATCCACTGATAAGTGCAACCTAAGTGGCAAATCTCAATTTTATTCTAAATCTTGGTATTTATAAATTCATGTTTTAGGATTTTATTCTTTTTAAATCTCTAAAATATGTATGTTCAAAGATTGATACAGGAACCAGATGATGAAAAATGTTTTAAATATCTTTGTTTTTATCTTACACGTGTTCTGATTTTTTCCCCCCAAATAGATATGTTTCTGATGCCAATTTTTAAAAATTCACGAACAGAGGGTAGTAGTAGTGAGTGCTTAATCGTATTGCTTGTATTTTGGAACTTACTACACTGAAGTTTAAAAAGCAGAAATGTTTTTACTAAGGAGTCTGAAAGCTGAGAATTTCAGAGAGCATTTTACAGAAATGGAAGCAGAAGCAGCAGGGGAAAAAGAAAATTAATTTGTTTAGCATTAATTAGCTAATTCTGTCTACCTCCTACTTGACTATACATCTTAGAATTGTTTATAAAAATTTCTTGAATTCCCATTCTGTACTGTTAAAAATGCTATTGATTGTTATGCAAAGCTAGATAAGGAAGACACTTTCTGTAACTGCTGGTTAGTCTGAAATATAATAGCTGTCCATTTTAGTAGTAGTAAGTAGGCAGTGAAGTGTCACCTAAAAGCAAGCCATATAACTTGCACACACTTGCAAAATCACACAAGTGAAAAACCTGCATTTGAGTTCCCCTTTTAAAAGGCGCATCACTTAATTCCTTTGGTGAAAATCACTTTGTCACTCCCAGCTGTGCTACTGTGATAGTATTGCGGTTGCATAAGGGGCCTGGAAAAAGCAGTGCTGCTTTTAGAACATAATTGTTCAAGTGATCTCTGAGTTCAGTACAGGCGGCTGTTGTGTATCTGCTTTGACAATAATAATTGACACCAGTATAACTTCATAGCTGGATGGGACACTGACATATGATATCACTCTTGTTTTATCAGCTTCCGCCCCCTTAAAAACTTCTGAGGTAGTGTCTTTTGGTGAACAGTTACATGCTTGTATAAAAATAAGTTCTTCTATGTGCTAGTCTGCAAATCGTGTTTTTCTTGGTTAGCAGACAAGTTTTGGAAAATAAAATGATTTTTAATTCTGTATATACCTTTGACAGTTGAACATTAGAAATAATCTGTTTTGGCTCGCTTATATCAGCTTTAGTATCACATGTTAAGAGGTGAATAAGGACTTGGCACTTTTATAAGTGTGTCTTTGGCATTGCATTACGTAACAATTTGTAAAAGAGCTTTTAGAATAATTAGGATAACTAAACAATAGGGCCGTTTCATGTCACTTTTCCACAGTGTTCTTATTCCTGGAATGTGTCTTTTGAGGAGCAAGTTCTTATGGCTTATTTGAACTGTCACTTGAAAAATACCTCTTGGATCTTCGGTTGTACTCAGAGGTTTCTAAATTAAATGAGACCTTAAAAGTTAAGATCATGCATTCAGAGGACTTGTGTTGAGGGCTTACTGTGCTGACAAAATAAAATTGTTTATATTTAGGTTACTGCTGTTTGCAAAATCACAGTAACAGGTTTTTACTGTAAACATTAAACATGTTTTACTGAGTAAAACCAAATAACAGTCTACTTACAGTTTTTTTTTATGGCACCATAGCAAGCCACTGCTAAAGCAACAGAAGGACACAACGCTTGTGAAAGCCCTGGAGACAGTATGTAGTCTTTGTTACTTTGATATAGTCTTGAATATCAATCTATACATAAACATTTGTTTACATACACATCAAAAGAATCTCTGCATATGTACATGATATCAATTATAGGAGTATAATGTGTTCATTTTCAACAGATTCTGTTATCCAGGATTTCTTAGCGTTATAGTGTGTATGTAACTTCCAAATATTTACTTTTTTTCTCCTCTCTCGTTTTGTGACAGGATGACGAAGTAGTACTTCAGTGTGTTGCCAGTATTCACAAAGAACAAAGGAAGTTTTGCTTGGCAGCCGAGGGACTTGGGAATCGCCTATGCTTTTTGGAACCGACATCAGAAGCTAAAGTAAGAAGTCAATACTCTCAACTGGTGTAACCGATCAGTGAATGTTAACCTACTTATTATCCATGAATACATTTAATTACAGTTTCTTTAATGTGATGCTAGATGCATCTTTTGTATGCTTTTCTTTCTGTGACTGCAACATGAGATTTCTTAGAGATTCTAAATATACTTTGAGGCATACCTGTGAACAGTCAAAAGCCACTATTCTTTAACTATCTAAAATAATTCCTGTAACTGAAATACTTCATATTTTCAAGATTAAGTCTCCAGACTCTTATTAAGATTTAAGTTCACTAAAAAATGTATTCCTATTACTGCTGTGGGTTCAAATATCATGATACACTGGATTGATAATTTTAGAAGCATTGTCACCTGTTAGTTACTGGCATTAAGTGTTGCTTCTAACTGTGTTGATTAATCAGAAAGTTGAGAGTACAAGGAACAGAATTATTAAGTAATTGAAAAGCTTTAAAGATAACAAGTGGCAAATGGAAAAAAGAAGCTAGAGAGCTGTGAATTAAAAATAAAAGAAAATAGTGAGAGGAGCTTGAGAGGAGAAAGGAGAGAAGAGGTGAAACTTTAGACCTGTACTAGAGCAGAATGTTAAGAATAAAGACAAACGGAGGAGGACCTTCTCCCTCTCTTCTTTGTTTTCTCTGCATCATTTTCTTCTTCTTTGTTTTGTGTTTCTATTTCTTTTCTCTTCTTCCTGACAATTTATTTCTCCTCCTGATTTTTTTTAGTGGGGTCTTTGTATCTTTTCTCTTGAAATGTTGCCATGTGGTCCTATTTTTAGTCTAGGTATTATGACCATGTTACATATGCAGTGTTTATTTATGCAGTATGAGAGATCCTTGTTCATCTCTAAGGTGAAAAATTATGCTTCTTCTAAATTTGCATTTCTTTGCATTCCAAGAGTTCAGTCAGATAATTTATCTCTGGTGTGCTTTACAAATCACCAATAATCTTTTCACATGCTTAAGTAAAATCAGTTAGTTTTCACATAACTATTGTCTTAAAATCTTCAACAGTGATTGGGAATTTTTTATTAATCAACAGCTCAACTGCAATGTGGTCTATCTATTACTGATGATGACCATCTCAATGTGTAAGACAGCATGTTGCTCATCGTATTATGAGAAAAGGAGGAATGGTATGCATTACTGTAGAATGCCATAGATTTACTTTACATTTTGTAAGTGTCTTCCTAGCAGACAATACTACAGAAGCTTCTAAAGTTTGTTTAAAATTAAGAGGTTCAGAAAACTTGTATGTAACTGCTTTAAAAGAGCTTACCAAGGAGCTTTCTGAACTGCTAGTCTTGACTGAGAACAGTGAAAAATTTTGGAAAGAGGCATGTAAATACATCTGTTTGAAAAATAAGAAGTGTAGAAGGTTGATCTGGATGATTAGAGAGTACAATACTTAGCAACAACCCTTAGCAATGACGCTTACTTTCATTTACATTTGGACAAAATTTTGGTTATGAAATAAGAAAGAGAAAACCAAAATGGCACACATCCAGTGGACTAAAACATAATTACTGAATAGATGTGTTTCTAATAAAATCCTACAGGGTTCTGTTCTTACTGCTATGCTGTTGAGTATTTTTGTCAACTAAGACATCAATTAAATTAACATACACAATTTTTTCAGATTATAAAAACATTGGGGAGCTGGCAGTTGATGAAGTCATGACACACAGGAAGATCTGCAGTGCCTTGTATGTTAATGGAAAGTAGAGGTATATTTCAGTGCTGCCTGTGTAAAGTCTAATAACTGAGCATGTAAATATGCTTACAAAATGGGAAGCTATTCTTGTCCCCTGTAAGGAATGTGAACATCATGGTGGATGTTACACAGTCATAAGTTCCCTGAGTGATGATGTGCTAAAGAGATCTACCATAGTCTTTAGAGGTATAATTGAAAGAAACTTGGTAGGAGATGGGAAGTTATACTGTATCTGCAGATTTTGGGTTTTTTTTTATTACTTCTGTGGCAATGCTGCAGGAATACAGAGTACAGTCATGGCATTCAAATTCATAAGAATGTTGATAAAATAGAGATTGCTCTAGGAAGTGCTATGAGAACCATGACTGGAGGAGGGCACAGTCTGTTCGGTTTAAAAAAGGGAAGTATGAACACTGCCCATAAGCTTCTAAAATGGGAAAGTTAATAACAGAAGTCCTTCTATTTTAGACAGCAGAAGACTGTCCTCCCTGTTAAAATGGTTCTATTTACCTGAGATGGATTCCTTATCCCTTCGTTATCCCTGGAAATTACTTTATAAAGCTAGATTTCTTCTGTGTGTTAAGAAGAAATTGCATGAAAGAAGATTCAAGGCATGTTTATCAACAGAAGTCCAGAGCAGAAAATCAGTGATAGCTTCTACTACCTTCTCTTCTCCAGTTGACCACTTTACCAAAGCCAAAATCTATTTGCAGTACATGTGACAGCTTCTTCTTAAACTTTGGCTAGAGATTGTTAAATCAAGAAAAGAAATGCTTTTCCATTCAAGTAATTCTGGAAAACATAACAAGATAGGAAGAAAACTCAGTGTATCTGTTAATTCCAGAATGAAAAGGTGTAACTTCATGATTAATTTTTTTATCTGAGTTGTATGTAGTAAAAGTCAGAAGATAGAAGTAGCTAAAAGTAAAGGGAGGCAAGGAAAGAGAAGGTATATTTCTTAAAAACAGGAAGAAATGGTGTTTCTATGGTTGCCCATTAGCTGTTTTGGTACTTTTTTTGTGACATGCTGAAGGGAGTAAGAATTACTAATACTTTTGTTCAGATTTTACTATAAATCCATAAGCAACTTGCATGTTATTTCTTTACAGTTTATTAATAAAAACTATTACAGTGTTGGTTTGCTAATAATTTATATTATGGTGACTGGATTTTGAATGCACTTTTTAAAAGCACTTTTGCATTAATTCAGTAGTATGAAATTATGTTCCTCCTGTCTATATGGCTGCTTTTTGAATTATCAGATGATGTTTGCTTAAGTAATGTCTGATATTTAAAATGTAAAGGGAAAAATCTAATTAACTGGAGGTGAAAAATTGTATTTTTTATACTAAATAAGAAATAAAAGAATTGTTGAATGATGTGATCTAATTATATTACTTCATTGCTGATTTCCTTGTTTTTATTTAAAAGATGATGTATTTCAAAGCTGATAGTCTAGTGCTGCAAGGCTAACTTCTACCGATACCTAAGAAAAATATACCTCGAAAGTAATTGCAATGTACTAGCATCTCTTTCGGTAGCAAAATTGTCAAGTAAACTTAAATGCCTGAAGGGAATTATAACTAGTTAAGATAAGATTTCTGTCCTAATGACAGAATGTAGTAGTTTACAGGTCTGGTAAAAGTAAACCTAGTAAATCAATAACCTGTACCAGCTTATGTCAGTGTTTTTTACACTGCAGACCAGAAGCTGTGGGCAAAGATTTGGTTAGTAAGCATATCACCTGCAAAAATTTCATGTTATGATAGTGCCTGGAGGAATCCAGAAGACTGAATTGCGTTCAAAGTGTAATGTGGGAGCTGGGTTTTCCGATTAGCTATTTTATGGGCCTCCATTTCCCCCTATGCAACCCAGCACAAACTTATATTATATATAATTATATATAAAATGGTTAAAACTGCCCTACAGCTATTTGCACAGCTATTATTTTTATAATAAGTAATAATTATTGTGTATTGAAATAATAGTAGGCTGACAAAATAGAAATAAAACTGATGAGAAACAAGTTTAAACTTCAACATAAAACTTATCTCAGCGCTCCCTCCACTGCACTTTGTACTTGCCTGGCTGTGTCTCTTTGATGTAGAAAATATTTCCTTGAAGTCTTTTCATATGAAGCTCTCTTCATGAGCATATGCTTGTAAGAATGTTTCAGCCAGCATTAACTGCGTGCATTGAGTCAATCTATTATCCAACCTGGGGTTGTATGTTGAAGCCTGATACTAGAAACTTCATTGAAGTTTACTCTTCATAGAATCACAGAGTGGCTGAGATTGGAAGGGGCCTCTGGAGGTCATCTTGTCCAACCCCCCTGCTCAAGCAGGGCCACCTAGAACAGGTTGTCCAGGACCATGTCCAGATGGCTTTTGAATGTCTCCAAGGATAGAGACTGCACAACCTTTCTGGGCAACCTGCACCAGTGCTCAGGCACCCTCATAGAGAAAAAGTGTTTCCTGATGTTCAGACAGACCCTCCTATGTTTCAGTATGTGCCCATCGCCTCTTGTCCTTTCACTGGGCACCACTGAGAAGAGCCTGGCTCCATCCTCTTTGCACCGTCACTTCAGGTATTTATACACATTGATCATCATCTCATCTCCTCCTCATATGAGGGATACTCCAGTCTTAGTGGCCCTTTGCTGGACTCTCTCCAGTAGCTTCATACCACTTTTGTACTGGGGAGCCCAGATCTGGGCACAGTACTCCAGGTGTGGCCTTACCAGTGGTTATTCTTGTGGCCTTACTTTTTTTTTTTGCTGCATTTTGCTGTCTATTCTAAGAAACTACAAGTGAAAATTAGACCAGTGTGTGTTATTGACTGGCTTAGGATGGGTAGCTCTCCTTCACTACTGATGACTGGGTATGCACATACCTTTACAATGTTAATAAATAATACCAAATTGTGAAAATCTATGTTTTATCAGTAAATCACAGTGTACCTGAAAGGAGAAATTTCTTCTCTGGTGTCTCCCTTTTAAATGGAAAACTAAGGCAGATGAGCGTTTCTACAGTCAATCAGAAGTCTGTGAAAAAGGTGACCTGCTGTTCTATTCTGTACTTTCTATAAAGTATTTTGATAGTTCTTTTTTTTTTTAATTTATTACAAAGTGTGGCCCCTTTTCATTGCTGTAGGTCTTCTATTTTTTCTATAACTGCTTGTGTTGCTCCTCTCTAGCTACTGTGTAGCTTGTATCTGTTTTTTCATGTCACCTCTCCTATGAGCTTTGACCTATTGATATACTTTACCTGCTCTCTGCTCTTCCTCCAGAAATCAATTTAGATTAAAATAAAGTAATTTGACCTGGACTTTGATTCATTTCTGTGAGAAAATAGAATTATTTTAAGACTCAAGTTTTTTCCAGATCTATTGAACATTTCCAGTTCAGTTTTCCAGCTAGTTTTACTTATCCTAACACCTCATTCAGAAAAATTAGGTATATTCAGTGTTATGAGTGTGTTGATGGAAAACTGGTAGCTCTACATGAAAGACCTGTTTGGAAATAATTTCAGAAATAAACATTTTCTTCTTATAAAAAGAGCAGCTGTCAGGGTAGAACTGTCAATTGTTTCTTCAGATTTACTTTGCAAATTTGTGTAGGTTTCCTATATCAAATTTGTCTTTTTGTTTATCTTCCTGTATGTATGGACAAGACTGCGCAGAGGTGTGCTGGAAGAACTCCCAAAAACTCTCATTGACTTTGAAGAACTATTTATTCCAAATTCCTGCTTTCTTCTATCGTATATCTTATATCTTATCAGTCTACTTATTCTGCTACACAAATTCACTTACAGTAATGCTTGCTCAGTGTATCTTTAAATGCCTGCAAATTAAAATACTTCATTCTCCATTTGAATTTTTTTCTTTATTGATGATTCTTGAAAATGATGTAGTCTTACTTCTGTGTGGTCTTTACAACTTCCCATAGCCAGAAGGGGGATAAATACCTATGCCTATTGTTACTTTACAGCAAATTTCTAAAATCTTATCTTAGTACCTGAACAGATTTTGTTTTTCATTTCAGCATAAAGATTCCTCACATGAATATTTCCCCATCTTCTACCTGTGGCTCTCACCTCTCAGTATTCTTGTTTCACTGAACATCCCTTATTGGCACTTTTCTTTTTTTTGTGGGATTCCACACAATACAACATCACTCAGAGTTGGGGAGAAAAAGCACAGATTAGCAGATGGTCGAGATTTTATTAAACCCTTTTTAGCTGTGCAATTATTAAGAGCGTAAAATAGTCTGCCACACAGAGATTGTTGAATATCAAACTTATCATTTGCAGTATCATTTGCAAAAAGACCAGAAAACAAATGAGCCTTGACAGACTCAATAGTTAATTTTAAATTTTTCTTTTTTTTTTTTTTTTTTAATAAAAAGGAAGCAATCTAGATTAATTAAGGAGATCAGTTACTACTTAGATCATGTACCATCCACATAAATTACCTTTCACTGGTATTTCTCAGGTCAGTGGAATTTAAAAAAGAATTTGTTGCCATCCAACCACAGAAATGGGGTATGTGATAGCATGGAAGTGTTAGAGCAGCTAACCCCTCTTTCAAACTTGCAGTGTTACACAATAAGCTAAGGCATGGGTGGAAAAATCATTAATTTCATAGTTCTCAGTGTCAATATTCTTAAATAAAGCTGAAGGCTCCATAGGCTATGAAGAAGAATAAGAAGTGAAAAATTAATTGTGTTAACCTAAGATGCACGTTTTATACAAACTGTGACTAGGAGTACATTGTTTTAGAGTGTGTCTTTCATTAATACAGTACTAAAGTAAGGGCTGCAACAATTTTCAAATCAAAATGCAGCCTATGTTGCACAAGACCAGTGGCCAGTGAGACAGATGGGAGTTCTTTTGTTCAGTTGGTAGGTGTTGGATCATACTGATCATGCCATATTCAGTTTAGAGTGGTATTAAGTACCAGAGGTAGTCTGATGCTGATTGAAACTATATTACCAGCTATGTTATTTTTTCCCAGATAAAATTCCAGTTTAGTTTCTGAATTCAAGTTTCATGTTGAAAATAGAGAGACATTATAAAGATTGTTGTTGTTTTTTTTTTTTAAATTCAAATGTACTTCAAGGACATTGTGGTTTAATGCATACTCAAAATGTCTTAATCAAATGGATGCTGCATAATCTGAAAGCTGCCATAGGATGACAATAGAAAAATATCTGGGTTTTTTGTTTGGTTTTTTTTTTTTTGGTTGGTTGTTTTGGTTTTGTGTGGGTTTTTTTGTTGGTTTGGTTTGGTTTGGTGGTTTTTTTTTTTTTTTAATAGTGATGTGGCTTATTTGCCTGCTAGGAGCAATTAAAGGCAGTAAAGTAATGGGCGAAGTATTACTCAGAGGTTTTGTTTACCTGTCAGGTTCATTGGGAAGTAGAGACTGCTTAATGTTGTGTAAATTTTTATGTTCATAGGATAAAATATTCTAAGTAAATCTTTCCAGACTTTACTAACAAATATGAGACACAAAATCTAACCTAGTTTCATTTGTAATTCATTTCACTGAGAAATGACATTATCTTTCTGTGTCTGGTTGTATGAGAGACCTTGAATGTAACTTATTAAAGAGTAAACTTCCACTTACAATCTGTGTGCATGTATGTATATATGGATGCTACATACATACATGCCCACACACACATATATGTATACTATGAGTTTATATAACAGAGTATGTCGTGTGCGTGTGTATACGTACACAGATGCAGTTAATGAATGCTAAAAAAAAAATAGTACCCCGTAGTGGAGATGAGTGATGACAAGTGCTACAGTTTAAGTTGTTCCTGTTGCAGTTAATGAAATTATTAACTATTTACTATTTACAATTATTTAGTTGTGTAAGAAAGATGCAAGAGTTCACTTTACTTCAATAATATATGCAATTTCAATGTCAAGTCTTTGGCCTCAAAGTCTTTTCCAAAATGTGTTTGAAAACACCAAAAAACCCATAGTTAAGAGTCCATAGTAGAGATCGAAGGGTGGGAATTCCAAGACTATACTTGATTAGCTTGCTATAAAGACTTCACTTCAGCAAGTTTCGAAATCTCTTAATTGTATCACTTCCTTTTTCACCACCTTAAAACTCAGCATTATCAAGAATTTTATTCCCTTCTGTCACACTGATTTACAAAAGAAAAAGGAATGCGTATGCACTTCAAAGCTCATTCATAGCCATATTCTATATCATAAATCACAGAATACAGAATCACTGAGGTTGGAAAGACTCTGTGGAGATCATCAAGTCCAACCCCTCTGTTCAGAGTAGGTTCAGCTAAAGCAGATTGCTCAGGACACTGTCTAGTCAGGGTTTGAATATCTTCAGGATGGAGACTCCATATCCTCTCTGGGCAACCTGTTCTAGTGTTTACCATGCTCACAGTAAAAAAAGGTTTTTTTCCTCATGTTTAAATAGAATTTCCTGTATTTCAATTTGTGTCAATTTCTTCTTGTTCTTTCACTGAGTACAACTGCATAGAGTCTGGCTCTGTCTTCTTTGTACTTTCCTGTCACATATTTATATACATTGATGATTCCCCTTGAGACTTTTTTTCTTGGACACATCTTTCCTTGGACACATCAGTGCCAATAAATTGAAAAAAAGTCTGCTGTTCTTGAAGTGGATTTAAGGTTCATGTTTCAAAACCAGTAGACATATTGATCCAACAATTGAGAAGATCTCCTAAAATAGTTAATATTATTATATCATAAGATTCTGAATCTTTGCCATTTAGTGACAGCTATAAATATGTTCAGAGTGTCAACCTTATACGTCAAATAAGATCATACACGTTCTCTTCTGTTTTGTCAGTGATGTTATAGAACAAATACAATGTTCATGGTGTCATTCTAGAAGACAGGAAAGCAATAATATGTAGAGAAACACTTTCCACTTTTGAACCTGAAGATGTTTCGTTTTACTGTGAGGGATACAGCTCTAGGAAAAGTAAAGTTACTGCACTGACAAGTTATGAAGAATGGACTTAAATTATTTTCATACAGGGAAATAGCACGTATCTCAAAACCAAATGAATAACCATTAAGTCTGGATTTTAAAATTAAAATACATGTGTATTCAAACACACTTTTCATCCTGTTTCACTGGCTCTGATGATCTGTTCTTACACTATTTAATGTATTTTTGCAGTATGTTCCTCCGGACCTTTGCATCTGTAATTTTGTCCTTGAACAGTCCCTATCTGTCAGAGCCCTTCAAGAAATGCTGGCCAACACAGGGGATAATGCTAGTGAAGGGGTAAGTAAATTGACATCAAAGAATATTAGATTTCTGAATATGGATTGTTCTCGTTTCTTTCCTTGTTTCAGGATTTTCTAGGAGAGGGGCCTCATGTCATAGCAGATTCTTCAGTTTTTCTGTTTTCCTGGGACATTATTGCTCCTCTACTATAATCATATTAATTTCTTTTTAGCATTGGAAGCAGGTGCAGTTAGTCTTTTGACATATTTACAAAAACCAGAAACATCATCTTCAGAGATCTTTTATTACCATCAGTCCAGAACTGGATACTGAAAAAGGAATAAGAGAACCCTTGGACTTAGTCTGGCTTTTATGAACCTGAGGAGAGTATATGAGATAGGTTTTATCTGAAACATAAATCATTGCCATAAAAGCATTATTGTATTACAGTGCTATTTATTAATGGGGAAAGGAAAATAATTTTCTCATCATGTAAATGTTCTATCTCATTTCACTGAGCTAAGAAAGTATTTCAGGTATTTGGATTTAATTTGATTTATCCTCACATGAAATTAACAATGAAACAAAGTGACAAATTTAAATCTATTTTAGTTCAGATATAAAAATACGTATTTTTCTTTGTAGTTGTATAACTAAACTGTTTCAGTATAATTTCAAGTTATTTAATCTGTGGTAACAACAACTGTTGGATAGAAATAATTATTTCAAAATTCTCTTCTTTGGGTTTCTTAATCTTTTACTATATTAGCACAAGCATACTTACTGGAATGCTTACAGTATAGTGTAAAGTGACTTTGCAGTAAGGTGAAATGCTGTAACTATGCTTGCATTTCATGTTACTAAAATTTCAATTTATTTATCACTTCAAATTTAAGATATGCTAAGAATGACTGAAAGAAGACTTCCACACTGGAGCAATCAGGATTCAAAAAACCCCCGTACACTTTATTATACATTATTTATTATTGACAATGTTATTTAAGAACTGTATTTTTCATAGAACTTCTAAGCTATTTGTTTGACAAAAATGGATGGTGGCATAAGTAAAAATTAAGCCTAATCCAAACCCCAGATACAGATTTGCCTGTATTTTCAATGATCTGCATGAACAACGATCATTTTTCAATGATCAGCTGAACCTCATTGCTAATTGTTGAGATGAGACAGACTTACCTCTCATCTACGCGCTAATACTTCCAGAAGTTTTATAAGTTACACTTGCTGTGGCATCTGTGAATCGCTTGTAAGTAGGTAATTTAGGTAAATTGTCTAGTTCTATATACTTAGGTAGAGCTTGTGTTTCTCTGAAAGTAAATGAAATTGACCTATGGTCTGCACTCAGTTGGTCACTGCGCTGTTATATTCATGTGTATAAGTTTTAGGAATTTAAAATAAAATGTGACATCACCTTTATTGTTTTCTTCTATTCAGTGAACAACTGAAATCTGAAAAAAACTGGAAATGCCACTTCTTAATGTATGGGGTGAAGTATTATTAACAAATTAATATTAAATAAGACTTTATAATGTTTATTTGTTATGACAGATTCTGTAATTGCTTTCTGGCACCATGAAAACCACAAAACTTGTGTAAATAAAAATCTTCTGCATTTCACTCTCACTTAGAGTTAAATTTGGTAATAGTCACATGTATGTCTCTTAAAGTTGACTAAACTCTTGAATTTCTTGCGTGCAACCTCAGTGCATTGATGTTTAGCATACCTCTCAGATTTTTGCTACCTCATCAGATCACCTTGCTATTATCTTCTATGATACTGTGCTTTAATTGATTTCCCAGAATAGTCCAAAAGCCTGGATGGAAGACTTATCTTAATTTGATTGCTTTGACCCTAACTCTCCAATTTCAGTTGAATTGAATTGAATTTGACTTTTATTCTCTTACAAACAGAGCATGATAAAACTCTGTGGTTTTACTTATTTTATGAGACTAAATGGCAACTAATTACAATGCAAATAATCTGCAGAGCTAGATAGCCTGTCAGTTTTCATTTTTATTTTATGTAGAACCAGAAAACTCATATTTTCTTTGAGTTGTAATTTTTCTTTTATTGTACTTACACACGGAGTTAAGACTCTGTCACATTAAGTAAAAGGAGAAATGGATGTCTTGAGGAAGAAACCAAACATAAAAATACAAGTAATCTCAGTATTATCTAAAGAAATTGACTTAGAGATAACATTTCACTATAATTTTTTTTCTGTTGTTAAATACAGATTTATGCTGAATTTGTTTCATGATGAGAGATTTCTTTTGATTTCTTTCTGGGATTCATATACTGTACATGCAGTTTTAGTGTTTTCTTCCTTTTTTAGTACAAACATAGAAAAAAAAATAGAATAGTATGTGGGAGGAGGGGAATTTTATGATTTAAGTAAATAACCTGGAAGGGAGAATCAAAAGGGTGTTTTATTTACTTGAGGCTAATTTTTTGAATGTCATATCCATCTATGCAGAAGTGATACGTTCAAAACGCGTGTTATTTTTCTAAAGATGAAAATGGCTATAGAATAAATTTTTGATCTTTTTTCACTTGAATTATAAATTGCCATTCATTCTGAAGTCTCTTCATTGTTGTGCAACAATTCACCATTTTAATATACTACTTAATTTTATTTGTTTGTAAATCAGATGCATCAAAGCAGTACTTAAGCATTTGTTACCCAACAGTGAGTCTTGTTTTTTGCAGGAAATCTAAGTGTTCCTCTGGCTGTGACTGGCTGTGCAATGATTGCTTCTTGAAACTTTTAATAGACTGTATGCTCTAGGTAATAAGGAAGGAAAAAAAATTTGGTTTTGAAAACATTTTTATTTTTCAAAAAGATAAAAGTAAAGGTGGTCAAATATGTATCTTAATTTATAAAATTTTCATTTGAAATCAAACAATTTGCCAAAGCTTTATATCATCCCAAAGAAACTAACACTTATGGTGGAACTTGCTTTTTTTTATTCCCCCCTTAAGTTAATTAATTGCTGCAAGCATTCAAGGTGAGCTGTAGAGTCTCTTACTTCTGAAGGAAGAAATTTCACTTTGCAAGATTGCTTCTCAATTATATAAAATTATAAAGATGTTTAGAATGCTTATGGATTAAAAATCATGATTTCATGCAGATCAGCAAATATTAAATGACTCAAAACCAGGATTTGTTTTTGTCTGAATAAAAATGGCTGCAGAATTTAAATTTTAAAAAATGAGAAGGTTGCTATTTAAGAATGGTTGACAAGAAAGAGTGAAACTTTACAGTTTTATGCTTTCACAATTTTATAATGCCATCTTCAGTACCTACCTTTCTTTCTATTAAAGAATATTAATTTTTTTTTTCTATAAGCTTGTTTCTGTTGTACTTTATGTGTGGAAATCTTCAATTAGGAGATAGGTATATTCAGGACATGTAGCACCAAGGTATGTAAACCATATTCATATAGAAATGTATGTTTGCATGCATAGAGGGAGCATTCTTACTGTCTGTTTTATGCTCTTTTAATCCCCTAATTTTTAGCAGGCTAAAATCATGAGATGCATTTTCTATTATAATCAATGGATAGTGGCCATAAGTCTATGGGAGTGCAGTTTAGGATAAACTACAGAAAGTGTCTTAAAATGTTTAAGGTATTGTATACATTGTGAACACTGTTTGCATAGTATACCTGGTGGAATGAAGTGATTTCTAACGAGAAATTTTCTTACGTGTTGAGAGAATTGTTGCAGATTCATACATTGAATACTCAAAACTTCAGTAATAGTAGTCCAGTAGGCCTCCATCAGGTTGTTGTTTCAAATGCATGAAACCAATAATCTTATTATTTTATTTACTATTTTAAAAGTTTCTTTCATAGTACAGTATTAAAATTAAACTATGGTAGTAAGTGATACATCAGCATAAATAACAAAATAGAGGAACTTTGTATATTGAGAAATTCTTGAATACGTCTAAGGAATTAACTCTTTTGTACCAAATTGGGAAAGCATCTAAATAGTGTATAGACTAAATGATATAACCATGAAATTATCGGATACAAATTTTGGCCTTTACCACAATAAACAATTAGTATTATAGTTTATAAATAAAAATCCCTTAAATATTTTCTATCTTTTTTATATCTTACAAATTAAGAGAGAAATATGATAGGGAAATCACAAATATGGATTCTAGTTCAAAAATATGTCAGCTTGAAAAGAAAAAGCGAAATAAATTGATGTCTTATGCTTACTCATTGTTTTAATTCCATATTAATTTGTCATTCTTGTACCCATCTTTCTTATGTAGGTTGCATGAGGATAAGAGATGTGCTATAGAAAGACTGTGTATTATATGTACTCAGAAAGACTTCAGTATTTCGGTTAATGTTTTCTCATCACATGTTGCTATTTGATTCACAGGAGTTAAATTCTTCCTTCATTTTTACTTTTTGAGAAGTAGAAGAACCTTTATTTTTCACTGTAACTTATTGGCAGGATAACCACAACCTACTGGCTTATTCTGCACTCCAGATCTTTAACTGGCCCAGCTCAGGGAAGCTGGAGTTCTGCTTTATCATCTCCGATCTTGCAGTGTCAGCCTTTGCATACACGGTTTTCAGACCTCATTGTTATTGACCTCTTGTTTTCCACTGTTTTCTCCAGTTTAAAGTGTAGTTTTTTATTTTTGCAATTATGTTGGTTTCTAGATAATGGAACTCTTGATGAAAAAAGCATTTGCTTAGGGAAAGTAAGATTGATTTAAACACTTCTAGGACTCCTAAGCAATAAGACAGTTTTTAGTATTTCCAAAATATTCACCCAAAAACTTAGCCAACAGATTTAATCTGAGATTACTAGTAATATATGAATATTTATATTTGGGATTGGCAGTAGAGAACAAATAATCTCTTCAGTAAAAATGATCATACTGTTGCTTTGGGGGCAGTGGACAATAAAAAAGAAAATGTAGTCTGTTGTGCCATATTTATTTTGAAACTACCTTGCCCTGCATTTATTTTGAAGCTGGGTACCATCCATTGGGGAAATTGTAATAGGAACACAGCAGTTCATATAAATAGCAAGGATGAAATAAAAAATGAAAGCCTGAACAATAATGCAAGAAACTTTCTTTCTGGACCACAAGGATTTGTTACATTCAGAGAAGGTGGACTCTTAATTAGCTTCTGTCAACAAGTTGTTGGTAAAATGGATGGGTTATTTTTTAAGTTACCGTTAACTGATTCTGTTTTGAGACATATGTCATAACTACCAATCAAGTTAAATATTTTGTATTATGAGGCACTATAGCACCATGAAAGCAAATTGATATGATAATAAATAATTTCTAAACTAGATTTCAGAAAAAGCTATTTTTGAGATGAGTAATACAAAATGCTGTCTTTTAATAGTTGTTATATATGTAGAGAAAAATGACAGCATGAAATGTAGGAATGCATATCTGAAAATGTTCATTTACATTCTGTTCGCAATACAACGGCATTGCTAAGAATAGAATCTGGCCTCATATAATTATCATTAATCTTTTATTGGTTCCACCAATCTATCACTCCATTGAATGGTTTGCTTTCCATATTAAATTTAGTTTGGAATAGAGTTGTGGTCTTAGTTTCAGATTTTTCTGGAGGAAGAACATAGCTTATTTGATTTTGGGGTTTTGCTGGTTTGCTGTGTTTTATTTTTAATGAGTTAGCCTTAAAATTGCAAGTGATTCACTTAAAAGCTTTCAGTAAAAAAATGAGGTGGTTTATTGCTTGTTCTCAGTATATGTATGTTTGTTACAAACTCACTACATATAATTTTGTTCTGACAACTTGTCTGTAATTGCAGTTGATTTTGCTGTTAAGGTTTTCCTTGTTGATTAAAAAAAAAGTTGTAGTTTATAAAAGAAGTATTATATACACTGTTACATGATGTTTTTCTGGTTTTCTCCCCCAAGCAGTGATAAGTTCCTGCAGGATATATTATTAAAACCATTTTTTATGGATGACATATTTTGGAGGAGCTCTTGGAATTTTTTTTATTTATTGTTTCTGATCAGCCTTTTATAATCATATCTAAAAGTATGCTATGTTCTCTGAATGGCCAGTGATAACGATCTTGTATTTATCTCCAATTTTTTCCAATAATCTGACACATTTTCTGTGTGGGTCCAAAAATCATTATCCAGGAATTTGGTTTTATTTTAGTTTGCTACTGGGTGTACTGAGAAATTTCACATAATTATATGGATCATATTGTGGAAGAGATTATACATACTATCCGTATAATTCTGAGAAATTTCTCAATAAAATTTACTACATAAAATTACATAAGACTGTCTACTATCTGTTAACAGCATTAAGTTCCAGTGTAACCAAGTCCCTATTTGTTAATGTCTTTGTTATTAGCTAGAAAAATAGAATTAGGATTTTTATTTTATTGCAGTTGTAATAAAAGACCTCTGCTGAATTGCTTTTAGATTTTTATTCCTTCTCTTTGGACAAAAAAAAAATCATGTTTAAGCCTTTGAATTAGAATTAAGTATTCTATATGTCGAGCAACAGAATGTAGTAGTTTCTTCAGCTTGATGTCGTGTAAGTTGGGGTTCTGTAGAACACAAGTTGTACATAGCTTGTAAACCTGTTGACCTAATTGGTAATTTAACTAATGTATTGTTCATAGAGTGCAAAATCATTTGCCTACACATGTATAATTGCTATTTGAGTTCCTGGAACTACCTTTAATTATCTTGGTCCCTTCCACATGAATCCAAGGAGAACAACTGACCTTAAAGGCAGTCCTTTCTAGCAGTATGTACTAGAGACGATCCCTGTTCTAAAGTTATATTTTGGGGAATCATCTTTCATATTTAATGATTGCCTAAATATACATGAAACAAGAAGACCATAAAGTAAACGCTCTTTTATATGGAAAAAAAGCTCTCTGTGTGTGTGAGAACAGTTTCAAGCAATTAGTTAGATATTCTTGAATTAGCAATTTCTAACTTGTTCCCAGGATCCTGATGTTAGACCTTTTATTATTACTCAAGACTTGCCAGGTGCAAATGTTATGGTCGGGACTGAGAGAAAAAAATGAAGTATAATGTTGCCCACCGTAGTATAATTAGTGTTAACATTAATCGTGAAATCCATAATTCTGCAAAATTTGGAGATCACTTTCCTAAAAAAGTGCTTCATATAATCTGGGATTGAGGATATCTTAAAAAAAAAAAAAAAAAAAAAAATTCTTCGTTTCAGTGGAAAGCACCACAATAAATCAAGAATTTAATTTCTTGGTCATATTTATTTAAGTTTGAATAGGCTTGTTATTTATAAATAATTAGAAAATAAGATGGTAGATGCAGAAAAAGGCTGAGAGAGGCAGACTTGAAAACCTACAAAGCTTGTTGTTTGTTGTTCCATAGGTAACTTTCTTGTTAAGATTATTCCCTTGGAATTTATTTTCTTCTGGTCACCAAAAGGAGCTCAAAAGATGTGTGTTAAATTATCTAAAGGAAGCGTGTGGAAAATCCAGTTTTGCCTCTCCCTGATCTTGTCATAAGTTTCCATATTCAAAATTAATAACTGTGCTTGGTTGACATTATGGATGCAGTTGCTTTAATGAATCTGCTAAATGCTTAATATAGCATTAATCCTAGCAAGTAGATATCCTTAGTATGTGCTTAAATGATTCTGGGCAATAGGGGCAATAGGTGTTCAGATTTCAGTTTGTGTATGTGTATATGTACTTATTCTATTATTATTTTTTTAATGCCTCTGAGAAGTTTATAAAAAAGGTAAGTAGTATCTTATTTAATTTAAAACATTTTTTTGAAAATGCTGTGTTTTTACTTAATTATAATAAAAATTAGGTCACAATAAGAGTCTGTGACCAAGAAGAACCTTTGTTCCCTTGGCAGATATTTGGCTATTGCTGTAGCTACTTCATTATTATGATTTTTGCCCAGCATATACGTTTCATAATTTGCTTGAATATTTGTACTTATTACTTGAACTGTAGTAGCTCTTCATGTTGTTACATAATTCTGATTGTAGTCCATGCAGCGCAGTGGAGTTCTGACGTTCTCTGTCATGTTCTGTAGGCAGCTCAAGGGGGTGGTCACAGAACCCTGCTGTATGGTCATGCTATACTACTTCGACATTCGTTTAGTGAAATGGTAAGTGAAAGAGCACTTGCACAGAATGAGTAACATGAAACTCAAATAAATGTCTTTTTATCAAAGTAAAAAATATATAAATTTGGAAGAATGTTCTTTCTAAGTTCTCTTCTGCACTAGATAAAAAAAATTGAATAGCTTATGGTGTCTCAATGCAATGGAAGTGGCCCTTATATTTTAAATTCAGATTCTTCAATCCATTTCACTCAGAAATGTAGCTGAAAAGCTCCTTTAGCCATGGATTATTTCTGTGTCCTTAAGGAATCCATTTTAATAATAATTCCATTAGCAAGTTTCTGCTATCGCAAATGAATTTGTTGTGATATGTGTTATTTTTTCCATCATATTTTATAAGATAAGGAGTTCCTTTTAACATCCCATGGTTCCCAGAGACTATGCCCACAAACATGCTATCTTCAGGCTACCTTGTATAAATTTTGTTTCACTACATTGTCCAACTGGAAAATTTTAATTGTTCTGGATCTTTGACTTATTAGGGCCCACGCAAGTATACCTAATAGGAGGTTGAAGAAATGAGAAGTCAAGAAAACATCTTCCCTCCTTTTTCCTGTGCTAGAAGACTCGACGTTAGTCTTCAAACTCTGTTACTTATGTTTATGAACCATACAAGTTGTAGTTGCGTTGGTATACCAGAGTTGCAAGTATGATTACTGCCTTTTGGTACGTTTGCTATGTTTTCATGAAGCAAACTTATTACAGTAACACTGTAATGAGATGTTTGTGTGTTCCTATCTATGTGAAACTTCGGAAGGTAGGAGCTAAATTGCACAGAGAAATGTGCTGAAATGGAAAAGGATTTTGATGTTTTAAAGTCAGGAAGAGCTTGTATACAAATATAGTGCTTAACTAATTTAAAAAAAAGTTAAGCACAAGCTGATAGTACGATGGAGTAATGTGAATATATTAATTTGGCACGTGTGTTAATGGATACTGTTGGTTTTTTGTTTTCAATAAATTCACTGTTTTGCAGTATTTGACATGTTTAACATCATCAAGATCCCAGACGGATAAACTTGCATTTGATGTGGGACTACGAGAAAATGCAGCAGGTATGGCAAGTTATTTTTGAAGCAAAACGTGTCACACACTTCTTTTTTTAGAAGAGACATTGAGATTAATGGCACTGTAAGCTTATGAATGTCATGTTTATGTGTTCATTAGAAATAAGATGACTGAAAGTAAATGATGATGTGTCAATATTGATGACTTTTAGTAAATTAACTGACTTTGTGTAAGAATGTGAGAGTGCATTGCAATTAAACTGCACAACTGCAATAACACTGGTGATAATGGTCAAAGTAAAAGATTTCCATTGAATAAAATAAATTTGATGCATTTGTTTTCTGTTTGTATGGTTTGGCACTTTCAATAGAATTAGAGTATGGAAAAGCCATATATTGGTGCATTCACAATATATATTGGAACCATGCAACGAAAGAAGTATGCAACTTGTAATGCAGGAAAACAGAAATAATGTAATGAGCACGTTGCTAAAAGAGCTAAAGAAAAATAAAAGCATAAAATGGAGCAAAATGATAATGGGACAGAGTGGAAGAGATGTGACACAACCAAGAAATGACGAGAAAGCTTTAAAATCTAATTAATAGATTTCCAGGAGTACAGCCAGTAACAGTGCTGCTGACGGAAATACAGTAAAAAAAAAAAAAAATTGTGCTTCCATGAAATCACATATAAGTTATGAGATGCCACTGGGGGCTGTGTTAAATGAGTTTAAAAGCAACTCAGCCACAGAGACATTAATAGGTTTATGTGCTGCTGTATACATAGTGTTAATGGTTGCTGAGTGTGATGAGTACTCATCAGAAAGTAACGGGTGACCCTGTAGTACCCAGGCCCAGACATATACCTTGAAGGGAAAAATCTAAGTACCTGTATACACACCTCATTAATGTGAAGCTTCAAATACAGAAATGCCAGTTGTATTAATATAAACCTGTGTTTTCTGTTGTTTTTTCATTATTTTGAAAATATATTAAAATTAGAATAGACTAATTCATGATGGAGAGGCACTGCCAGTGTAGGTGTTAAAATGTTTGTGGACAATGATCTTTGAAACTTCCTTTTCAGGTGATTTTCTGATTATCTATATGACCTTCTGTTTTGAATGAGTGAAGTTTGTCTTTCAGTTGTTTGTGGTCATACAGAAGATGGTCTCAGACAAATATTAGCAGCCTGTTACTTGATTATATCTTTGGTTGCTGCCTTAGATGGAGACCATTTTCTTTAGGCATGTTGATAAAAGGATGTGTTATATCTCTCTGAAAATACTTTCAGTGAAATCTGTCTTTACAATTTAATATTTTTTTTCAGAGTTATTGTACATGTGTCTGCTTGTGCCCATGAGGTTTTGTAACGAATATCTGTAGTTGTCTCATATTGGTATTTGCTTAACTGTACATACACAAAAAGACCCTTGTACACATAGGTAAGATATAAAAAGCAATGCACAGAAGGAATGCTTAGTTGTGTTTCTACACAGAGGATTTTGATAACTACTGCATGCTTGTAAACCTCATAAACTGAACACCATAGTATCACTTTCCCTTGCCCTACTCCCCCACCTGTGAAACTGTCCTATTGAATCAATTTCAGCTTCAGGAAGTGTTCTTCACCTAGCAGGTATTGAGTGAAAAGCCAATGGATATTTAAAATTATTCTCTTTTAAAGATTTAGCACTTTACACTTTTACTTTTAGGTATGTAACTTTTATTTATTGTCTTCTTTATAATTAGTTTCATAACCTTCAAAATTTGTTTTAAGGAGGTTTTACATGAAATTTCTTAGTTGATCAAATAGACTTTTGTGCTTTGTCTTATGCTACCAATTTTGCCTTTGTTTAATTTTCTCCCACTTTGCATAGCCCAATGAGAAGGCTGTATTCAATTCGTTTTCTTCAGGGTCTTAACTAAACCCTGAAGGTTGTGAAATTGTGGAATGAATTAGGTAATCTTCTCAGAATCAGGGTGTCTGTGTGTGTGCAAAGTAATCTGGAATCTTACATTTAATGTGTAGAAAATGTTCTGTGATTGTCACCCTTAGGCTTGGCTGTCCTGTAGTCGTATGGTTTGTAGTGCTAATGCTCCCAGAATTGATATTTGTAGTGTAGCAATATTGTAAAGTTATGGACTATTTGTTTCAAAATTCTGTATTCTACAAAATAAATGTAGCTTAGAGTGGAAATGATACAGAAGATTGTGAATTAAATATGAACATTAAGCAAAAGAAGACAGAAAAGGTGATAATTAAGACAGGTAGCTGTCAGCAATTTACTGGCAGTGAGAGCCTTGAAGGGAGGGCAGTTCTAAGCAGTGTTTTGTAAGTGGTTAGCTGCTTTAAAAAAACATGAAAAGAGAAATATCAGGTTCAGTGATGACAAAGATTGGTTGACAAAAAGTTTTAAGGAAAAAGAAAAAAATTCAAATGGATTGAAAAGAGGAATGAGATGGTTTTATAAGGTGAATGTCTTATAAGACACAATTCTTTATTATGTTATTTAAATGTTGTTTAAAGATATCCTTAAATTTCTTGGGAGTTGTCTGGTTTGTATACCCTTGATAAGTATCTCTGTCCTTTAGGTGAGGCATGCTGGTGGACAATACACCCTGCTTCCAAACAAAGGTCAGAAGGAGAAAAAGTTCGAATAGGTGATGATCTTATCCTGGTCAGTGTGTCCTCTGAAAGATACCTGGTAGGTTTGTTTGTTTAGCAGGTGGACACTTGGTGGGAAAATACAAAGTGCTGTGAGGAGTTGGGGAAAATGGTTGGGATTCTTATGAATAAAATTTTTTCTAGTCTAGGAAATAATGCCTGGTTGTAATGCACTTTTTTTTCCTCAGTGAAAAGTTTTCCCCGCCTAGAACAAGACTGTTTCCATGCCTTTATCCTGAGGTGTACTTCAGCATTCTCCATCTTGGGAAGTTTTTATTTCTGTAACTGTAAAGGATTTCTAAGCTGCAGCTGGAGTCTGCTGATTAGATTTAGAAAAGAGTTAATTTTAAAAGCAAGTGACTACTAATTTTTAGAGAATTTTTGTATATTTACTTTATGTATTTCTATTTTGTTGAGAAATTATTATACTAAATATTTTTAAGTGCATAAATTTCACTGTTGCCTGTTACTGTCATCTTATTTCAGCATCTCTCCATGTCAAATGGAAGTATTCAGGTGGATGCCTCCTTTATGCAGACGCTATGGAATGTTCATCCTACATGCTCAGGAAGCAATATTACAGAAGGTTTGTCATTTTATTTATTTAGAAATGTGTATACTTTAGATGACTTTGTATTGCTTTTCATAACGAGTGAAAATGAAAAAAACCCACCCTTAAAACATCAAACCAAAGAGCTTAATGAAAATAAAGAAAATGAGCATAGGAGAGAAGAATAATGGAAGGGAAGATGGGAAAATACACATACATCAGCCAGATTAACTGAAGAAAAGCTAAGTAAGTTCTGTGACTTTAGAATAGCAAAGCATAAAAAGCTGCCTGAGAAATGAAGACTGAGAGAGCAACAGATGAGTTTATTGTCTTCAGTTTAATTTTGGGGAGTAGGAGCTGCAGAATAACTAAAGCCAGTAAACTTAGATTTCGTATAGGATTTTCAATCACCCTGTAACAGAGATAACAGAGGAGAGATAAAGGTACATGCAAAATGGAAAGCAGGTTTCTCATATTTCAATCTCTTAGTTGTGTTTTTTAAGGTTATTTGCTCAATATCCTTTCCCATGCTTCCTTATTGTCTCTCTGTAATAGTCAATGAAAATGAGCTCTCTAAATGCATTCTCTTAATCAGCCTTAAATCCCACACCACAGGGTCAGGATTTCTTTCTGGGTACTTGACTGTACTTTACAACCATGTTTGAGAAGCATCACCTTATTCTGTTTGAGAAATGTCTTGTTCTGTAATGAAAGGCTCATCCACTCAATATTGCTCCTTATTTCAATGCCATACTCTGTCATTAACACTGTCATAACAAACATTGTACTTTACTCTGTACTCTGCTGTTCTCTGTTCGAAGTATCAGCCCTCCACATTCATGTTTGGTACATGTCTTTAAGTCAGGATCATTTTGTATCACTTGGCCTTAAGCCTAATCATTTATGATATAATAATATACAGGATCATAGGAAAAAATGGAGCTATAAGGGACCTGAAAGAGACATTGCATTTCCCTGGGATCAGCTATACTAAGTCTTGATAGAAGTAGACTACCCTGGTGCTAAAGACCAACAGTCACTAGACTTATCTGAACTATGGTGGGGTCCTTCTGACCCCAAGTGGTAAATCAGTATCCCATAGTGTTTCTGTGCACTGGCCCATAAGAAACTCGTCTCAGTGTTTGTAGGTTTTCATTTTAAGAGCATATGGAATATGGATTTTCCTTGTGATACTTTCTGATTGCTTTCTGTGGCAAGAAGTGTATTATGCTGGAGCCGTATATTTATAAATGGCTGTCTGGTCCCTTGCCATCATGGGTCATAAATAGAATAGAGGTTAACTCTGGAAAAGTCCCTGTGTTCTCAGGTTTCACAGGTAAAACAAAACCAAGCAAACAGAAAAGCTATCCTACAGTAAAATTAAAATCTTGTAACAGATGACAAACATAATGAGCTACACAGAGACATCATGGAAGATCAGTGGTATATTTTAAATTTCTGTAACAGCAGGGATTTGGCAGCTGAATTTCCTAAGTGCTTACAGAATCACAGAGTGGTTGAGGCTGGAAGGTCCAATCTCCTGCTCAAGCGGGGCCATCTAGAACAGGTTGCCCAGGACTATGTCTCGGCAGCTTTTGAATATCTCCAAGGAGGGAGACCCCACAACCTCTCTGGGCAACCTGTGCCAGTGCTCAGGTACCCTTACAGTGAAAAAGTGTTTCCTGATGTTCAGACGGACCCTCCTGTGTTTCAGTTTGTGCCCATTGCCTCTGGTCCTTTCACTGTGCGCCACTCCATCCTCTTTACATTGATGAGATCCCTCCGGAGCCTCCTCTTCTCTAGGTCAAACAATCCCAGTTCTCTCAGCCTTTCCTCATGTGTGAGATGCACCAGTCTCTTAATCATCTTAGTGGCCCTTTGTTGTACTTGGAACCCTTGTACTGTGTAGCTCAGAATTGGACACATAATCCAAAATTGCATAATCAAAAAAAAAAAAAAGATAGGGTGGGGTAAGCAGAGAAGTAGGTTTTCTGTGCGTCATTTTTTTCCCCAACTACTTTAGCTTAGGTTTAGCTGTATGTACACTTCTCAGAATGGTTTACATGAGGGATGATCATATATCAAAAGACTTAGCAGCCTAGCTGAAGTTGAATGGACAGATTGAGAAAGTGGGATTTCCTGAGTCTAAAATGGAATTGGAAGTCAGACAACATACTTCTTGTGCTGTTTGAAGTACTTTTAACGGAACATAAACATCAGGAAAGTACATATTTTTTGCATTCTTTCTTTGCTTTGACCTTTGTATTAATTGGCAACAGGATAATTGCCAGTTACTGTTTTCCTAATTTACAAATTTATATTGAATTGGCCACACAGTATGAAAGTTTCCTTCTACCCTTCCTCCTTTATGTGTGTTTGTTCTTTTAAAAGGCATTAATTTCACTTACAAGGTCGGAACAGTTTGGACTGAGGGCCTGATGAATCATTCTCCTCTTACACCATTTTTTTTCTTTTCTTTTTTTTCTGTGAGGCAAAGTGCCTGGTTTTGACCTGTAGTCTTTTTGTTAAATGGGTTGGAAAGTTAGCTTCCATTAAACTTAATCTTCAGAACCGCTAAGTGTTTTTCTGTCCTCTGTCTTTTGCTGCTGCTGTGCAGTTTTGATTTTGATACAAATTGTAAATGTCAGAACAAACTGATGAATGCACCAAATTATTTTGTATTAAGGGCGAGGACACTGTGGTATTATATATTTGATTTGGCTTTTACTTAGAGCATTCAATTTTCAAAACAGTAATTGTTGCAGAAGTTTTTATTTTCCTTTTCTGTCCCAGAATCCTAATTTGATTTTTAAATGTTAAAAGATTGCTTTCTTTTTGTCTTTATTTTCAGAAGAAATATTTTTAACTGAAAAAGATACAAGAAAATAGTATGTTGTCATACTGAATTTGTTCTTCTTGCTTAATTTCAGTTATGAGTGAAAATTTGGAAAACAGATTTCACCTAGGTCTTTTGAATTTTTACAATTTTTTCTGAAGGTGTTATTTTCATACTGTCAATGTTTAAGCTAATGAGTAAATGTGCTGCTTCTACAGGATATCTTCTTGGTGGGCACGTAGTACGTTTTTTCCATGGCCATGATGAGTGTTTGACAATTCCACCTACAGATCAGAATGATTCACAGCACAAGTAAGTGGTGGTGCATTTTTATACATTTCCTTCTCTCAAAAAAGAAGTAGATTGTTGATTATCAGTTGAATTTGAGGTTAGGTAGGTTAAACACTCTTTACAGCAATCTTTAAATAGGCAGTGACATTGTTACAAGAAGTTGAGACCTACTAAGCAGAAAATCAGTCATGAGTTCTTTTATTGCTGAAATTCAAGTAGTTGATTTCCACTGAGATTTCAGCCTGTTATGTTGTTTGTCTTTAATGTATACCACTATAAGCAGAGATAAGCAAGCATTAGCAGGGAAGATGGTAATTTAAAAAAAAAAAAGCCCTAAAAAATCTCTGAAAGCTCGGCCTCTACAATGACTTTCATATTTTATATATTTTGCACCTTTTTGCAAGTTGTTGCTCTCTCAAATTTGATTAATACTTTAAGATAATTAAATCATATTAGCTAGACTAAATCACTTTTGTATTAAACCTAAATCTACAGTTGTTATATACTATGTTGATTTATTATTTGAATTTAACTTTGCATTTTGCTGATCAACAAAAGCACAAGCAGCTAATCATTTTGATACACAAAAACCCCAGCATTAAAAATCATATTCAACAAATAAGATCTCTATACCAGTTGTGGCAAATAAGTTACACTTTAGGTAATACCACGAGTAACATTCAGTTATGTCAAGTAAACTTTTCAGCTCTAAATTTTCCATATTTATATTTCTGTGGAGTAAAAATGTTTCCAAAGCCAAAAGAAAACCCAAACTGAATGTCAGAAAACTTCATTTGGTGGTGAATTTTTTTTATTGCTGTTCTCTTCATATGTGCCTAGAAAAAAAAGATAAGACGTTTGCACTGGGTGTGAAAATGTGCACACCTAGCATTTTGTTTATACCTCACAAAAACAAACTAACAAAAAAAATCTAGTAGTACAGTAGAGAAAGGCTTTTATTAGTAATTAAAAAAAAAAGATTCTATGTATCCTGAATTTCAGATCAAGAGCTTTCCTATTATCCATTGTATTTCCTATACCTATTATATATGAGAAAGGTTATACAAATTCTGGTGCTTAGATGACAAGACATGAACAATTACTGAAAGGTGAAAAACTTTCTTGCATGTATTCCTGTGAACAGGACTAATCCACCATAGTTTGTATTTGTTTGTATTTGATTATTGAGTAGAATGTTAGTTTCAGCACTAAAACATGTCACTAACCCCTGGCTAGTAATTCAAGAAAACTGGATTATATTAAAGGCTGAATCCCTTCACTTCCTGTTTTTTATTTCTCTGTTTTTCCTAAAACTAATATATAATTTTATCTGTATTATCTGTTTTGTAAGAATTATAATACAAAATTTTTGTTTTATCACCACCATTTTTGTCTTCTAATAAGAATGTTAGAAGTAATTCTAGAAATGAAGTCTCTGATGTCGTATTCATGCAGATAATCATTAATGTATGCAAATGTGTATTCTTAATTTAATATTGTGTTTATATGTGTTTAAGAGCATTAGTAGTTTAGATTAATCTCTTGGGAACTGTATGAATTATGTATTTTTATGACTGATTAAGTAACAGCAAAAGTTTCTCAGCCGCTTTGAAGGCAAAGTATTTTATCAACTCCTGAGAGAGAACAGCTTAATGGAAATCGCCTAACTTACCTGGGACATTTGGATTTTTTTATCGTGCTCTCACTGATGAATAGGAATCTTCTGTCCATTCAACTCCATCTGTTTAGCTGGGGAGAAGCAGCGAGTCCTATACAATTTACAGAGGAGTAAGTTATAAATACTATGTAGCACAAATAAACACAAGAGCATGATCTTCTGTATCTTTTCTGTAGGAAAGTACTTTATGAAACTGGAGGAGCTGGCATTCGAGCAAGGTCTTTGTGGAGAGTGGAACCCCTTCGAATAAGGTGCTGATATTTTTTTGAACTTTGTTAGCAACTCTTGTTATGTTAACAGCAATTCAATTATTACAGACCCTTAAGGCAGAACATGAGTAATATATTTGTCCTGCTATATGATATATGTTAGTATGTTAATTGCCAATAATAAAAAAAGTAATCTACCATGACATAATCCTGGGGGAATGTCAGTATTTTAAGACTTTTTTTTTTTTTTTGTCTGTGTCCCATATCAGAAGAAGTGTTGCCTATGAGATACACCTGCTTGAGACATTGCTTCTGTCCAAAAGTAAAATGCTTTTCTAGTTTTCACTTGGAATTTTAGAAGCATGGGTAGAAATCGGAACAGTAATATCCCTCATGGGTGTCTTTTTTTTTTTTTTTTAGACTCTATATCCCTCCTAGGTGATTAGTTATCTGTTAACTTGTTGGAAGTGAAATTTCAATAGATACCGTGTTTTAACTTTGATGGCCTTCTGAAGTGTATGTTTGTTTTACTCTTGGTGTGTTTGTGATTGCAAAGGAAATACTCTTATAACTAACAGAGATGTAGCATAGTTCTTTGGAATGTTGAGTCCTCACTTAGATTTAACTTGTTTGTTGAGGCAGTCAACTCAAATAATTAATTTACACTTTAGTATTTTTCAGAAACATGTAGGATTTTTTTATGTACACTGTATGTAACACCCTAATAAAACTGAGAGAGGGTATAGAAACAAGAAAATTAAAGCTATACTCCTTTCCAAGGTTCCCTTTGCAAATGTATTAACAGTTTTGAATCTGTTTTAATGCAAATACTGAAATCAAAAGCAAAAAGGAATATATATAGCACATTCTATTTTCTGAACGTCTTTTAAAGCCCAAAATAGAAATACTAGTTTTGCTGACATCATAAGTTATTTTTTAATGTCTCATATGTTTAGCTGGAGTGGAAGTAACATCAGATGGGGACAGCCTTTCCGTCTTCGACATATTACAACAGGAAAGTACTTGGCTCTGAATGAAGATGAAGGACTTGCAATGTTAGACAGAGAGAAGTCGGACACAACATCTACTGCCTTTTGTTTTAGAGCATCAAAGGTAAATAACATCAATGCAAATTTGTCTTAAATATAGAGCACTCAAATACTAGATCTGAATTGGTTCAATGACTTTATAATTTTTTTGTAAATTCTGAATGGAAGCAATTGGCAGGGGTTATGCATTTAAATACAAAGGTAAACAACCTGAGTTGAGAGTAACAAAGCTTTCCTTGAGGAAAAATAGGGATGATGAATAAATTTTAGAGTAAACTAAACTGTTAACAGGTTAAAAGAAACAAGATTGAAAACTAATACAGTGCAAGATACAGTGGTTTAATATGAATGTTTTAATCATTATAGAATCATTTTAGTTGGGCAGAATCTCATTAGAATGTTATTCATTCCAGCTCTGTCATAATTGAATTCAACTGAATTCAGTTCAGTAGGGCAGAATTCTGCCCTTGCTATTCTTTGTGCAGTGTGTTGATAGGTGAATTGCAAGGAAAATGTAGTCAGTGATTTCTAAACCATATGTTTTCAAACTGTGCTCTTTAGTGAGCTGCTAATTGCATGTTACTAGCTTTTTCATTGTTTCCAGCTGAGAAAAAACAGTACAAGTGAGAGAGGATGAAGAATGATTATGGAGGTAGGCGAAATTAATAACTTTTTTCCAGAAAGTGAAAGGTTTTTACACCAAAGGTGTGGAAAAGTTTTTATGTGCTTTCATGATATTACTTATAGATAGTTGCCATAGCTGCTATAATAGAGTTTTTTATTAAGTGTAAGAAGTTAAATGTTCCGTGTAATTCTGTATGGTCCCTGAAGGGCGGTTAAAAAGAATCTTTAAAGTTAGATATATACTAGATAAAATCTAGCATTAAGAGTCTTGACAGACGCTAGACTTTTGTTAGTATAATAAAGCAAATACTTCTTTAGCATGTTTAAAATAACATTTATTTTATTAGTGTGACTGCATATGGTATGCCAAGAATTTTTATTTTAACCAATCAAAATAATTGAAAAACTATCAGGGAAATTTCCTTAGATTGCTAGATGCTCACCAAATAGTTCTGGGTTCGTTCTTCAGTGTAAAGGCTGTGCAGTATAGATTGTACGTATGATGTTGTGCAGGGGTGTTTATTACAGCTATAATTTTTTCCCATTTTTGGCAAATCATGGCACCCTGGTAATGATATTGAGTATGCCAGGAATGCTGCAGTTACTGGTTAACATTGTGTTCAAACTCCTATAACGTACTTACTGTCTAATTGGACACCAGCTGTCCTCCAATTTCTTAATATTTTAATCTATGCATATAAATATATAAATTTTAAGTATATAAATTTTATGTTTATGTATGCAAACTTATAAAGTAAATAACTTCTGTTACATTGAATAAACATACCCTATTTTCTTATTCTTTTTGTTGAGGAGTGCCTCAAACGCACATTAGTGAAATTTGTTACAATTCCCAAAATTACTAAGGTGAAATACAGTAGTAATTTATTAAGCAGAAGTCAATAATGACTATGTAATGCATTCATCCCTTCTACTGTGTTTGTACATAACACAGTTGCTAATGTACATTGTTGTATGAAATACAAGTTCACTGTCTCATCATCCTAGGATTTGTGCTGTCCTGTATAGAAAAGAATATTTTAATCTCACCATAGGTTATAAATTTGCTTTAGCCTGTGCCAAGAATAAGAATAGTTGTTTATTGTCTGGGCAGGTGACAGCTGCACTGGCCCATGGGTAGAGACGTTAGTGTTTCCAAAGGTGAGGGAAACAAGCAGTGATAACTCTTCCTGAAGAAAGAAAGGTGAGGTTTTGTAAGTGAATAAACCCCAAAGATTGATCTGGACTGTAAGAAGGAAAGGACTTTTAAAGCCAAGTGCTGATTGCATACAGATTAAGGGGAAAAAGAACTGTAGAACTAATAGTTAGACTAGATAATATGCAAGTGTGATTATCTTAATTTTTGCACATACGTATTTGTAAACCTTTGTTTTCTCATGTTCATTTTCTCAATGAAGAAATATTTTCATTTGCCTGGACCTTAATATGGCATGAATTAAGGGAAATTTCAAGATAACTGTCTAATACCTTCCTATCCAGCTGTGTAAAGATCCTTAAAAATAGGGTGCTGGAAAAACTGGCTGTTTACAACACTCCTGTCCTTTAGAATCATAGAATAATTCTGATTGGAAAGGACCATCTAGTCCAGCCTTCTGCTCCAGGTGGGGTCAGCACTGAATTCAGGCTGGATTGCTCAGAATATACATTGCTGTGGAGTATCCAAAAGGAAATAAAATATTTCTCCGTTGAGGTATTCTTTCCAGACTGGAAGCCAGCAAAAGAGTTTTTGTGGAAAAAAGACATTATCTTTGCCAGTAGGCAGAGCTATGTGGAGTATACCAAATCCCCAAGGCTTCCCAGGAGCCTGTAACACATGACTTAAAGTCTTATTTTTCCAACAGTTGTTATAGAGACCCTCTTGTTGAAAAAGCACACCTTCATTCGCAGTATTGTTACATATCACTTTAGCAGTCTTGTGTGTTCCTTGCTTTTCAAAACCTGTGATTGCATTCATAATGTATTTACTTTCACTGTTTTGGTTCCTTTTGCTGGGTAACACTGGAAATTGAAACAGATATTTTAAATTATAAAATTCAAATTAAAGTTTTCCTTAATATGTCCTTACATAAATAAGAATAGAAGGAAGCTTTTAAAAAAGTGAAAGAATATGCTAAAGAACATTATGGTGCCGAATTCAATGAAAACAGCATATGCAGTATATGTCTGTTTACTCCAAATTACTGCAAACTAAGCTTACAAGCATCAGAAATTGATGGAAAACCCTGAAAATTATGCCTTTTGTTGGGTTTAATATGGAGCTTACTTTTGGCAAAGTTTTAAAATGTTTAACCTTTATATTTTAAGGCAACAGTTCTGTAATGCCTTGTGACCACAGAGACAGCAGTTTTCCTACAGCAGATGGAATCCTGTTTTGAAATGGGATGTTCTCATTCCAGCACAGTACTTGGCTCAGTATACTCTGCTGAGCAGAACTTTGATTCTGCTTATAAATTTCTTTGAGAATTAACACAGTGAAGAACAAGAGCATATTTAAAAATATTTGTTTATTTAAAAATTGTTGTAGCCCAGAATTAATATTTGAGATTTCATATTTTATTTTCATGATGGCATATACAATTGACAATGAAGAAGTTATTGGTGTAGTCTGAGTAAGTAACATTCTGACACATTCAAAAGTCACAGATGACTCATGCATAAGGATTTGATATCATTTTAATATTACTGCCAGCATGTAGCTATCTTAGAGGCTCAACATGGCATTAGGATGTTGTAATAGTTTAGTAGTAATCATAAAGTTTAATTCATTTTTGGAATAAGATGATAAGTATTACAGATCCCTTTACCTACAATTGTCTCTAAAAGTTCAAGTATTTATTTGTTAGTTCATATTTTACAATTATCATTTCCCAGTAAGCACTGCATTTCAAATAAGATATTAAGCTATTTTTTTCTACTTATTTTATATGGGAGGAGAAAGTAGAAGGTAAAATTAAAATCACCTTCTTTTTCTTTCTTGCCTACTGGGGTGTAGAGATGTATACAGCAAAGTATACAGAGTACGGTAAGCCCACTAGCAAGATAGATAGGCTCAGTGTATCAGTCCTCTGCTCTTATATTTGTAAACCTTTTATCTTTTTCTTTTGTTAAATTGGGGTAGCCTATGGCAGTACTTTTAGCGCGATAATGGTGTGCAACACCAAAAGATACAATTTTAATTTACTCGCATAGGTTAGATTTAGTAAGAGTTCAGCAGTTAGGTTGTCTTACCGTTCTTAGGGTTATGTAAATAAGCCCTTGAGATATCAAGAGTTTTTTGCCTGCTGTGTTTTTACAAGAAAACTGTTGAAAAATCGTTGTAAAGACAGTTGGGTTTATTTTTCCTGTTCACACTGCCATTCTTTACCTTCCTTCTATCACGTCGAAATCTATGATTCTATGAATTCTCTCATTTTCTAAATCTTGCCCTTCTTCTAGTATATTAAGTATCTTGTGAAAATTGCCTCTTTGACAGCTTTGCCCTCAAGTTCCTTTGTTCATTCCTTCTTTCTTTTTTTATTTTTTGTTACTGTTATTTTTCCTTTGCCGTCTTCCAGACCCATGATGTGATTTGTTTTCTTCGACTTGATTCATTCATGGCCTGAGGGAGTTAAACTGAGAATAGGTTGTGAAGAGAGGGGTTTGAAGGAGAAAATGTTTGGATATTTTGCTGCTAAGATATGTATAAATATCTAGATAAGAGATTTTTTTTTTCCCCTTCTCCCTTGATAATCTTTAACTGACTGGACTTTTAGCTGTTAGAAAATACAGCCTCTCTTTGCACACTGCTATCAAATGACTTGGCTGAAATCCTAGAGAAACTGGACAGAGCACAAAAAGCAAAACATCACGAAGAGGAATTTATGCTGTATTGCTTAAAGTGAGAACAGCCTTCAGGCCCCCAAAATCATTCTAAGGCTTTATTTCTGAAATTCGAAATATCTTGGTTTTTCTTTATGTTTAGTGTTGTCAAAAAGGATCAGTATCACTCAATTTTTTTAAAACAGTAACTTAATTAGGATCACTTGTTACCATATCATGATTTCTTTCATGGAAATTTTCATTGATGCTTGATTCTTGACGCAGATGTAGTATTTGAGAAAAATGTTTTAATCTTCAGGGTGCTATGTAAAGCCAAATAATTAATTGCTGACAGTTAATGAATTTTTGCTATTTTATTGTATTTTTCATTTAATGGCCTCACCATAAATGTGTATGGAAAGAGTTAATCTTTATCTGTATGTGATAGTGCAGTCTGCATGAATATGATGTGACATGATTTCCCCATAGTCTTGATATTGTAATGGTATCCCCAAGGAATGTCTTGTAATTTCATTCTACTTCATCTTGGCATTATAATGCTATCTGTTTCAACTAAAATTATTGTTGAAATGTGACAGCTAAATTTCATATAAATAAAAGTAGATTAGCATAGTTAAAATAAAACTTTTCTTTACTCCACAGATGTTGAACATTCAGTAAACTGAAATGAAATATGAAAACCTGTTACACATATAATAATTTAAGCTGTGTATCAGTCTAATATATTTTGTTTACTTAGCAACAAATGAGCAATTATCTACACTTAAGGTTAAGTCCATCAGCATTTGAAGTAATGGAAAAATGATATAATCTAATTACTCTATTTAGAGTTTTTTGTTTAATTACACACATGCACATGCATCCATAATTTGCTATTGCAGAATTTGCTGCATAATTCTGTTCTTATTCCTGGATTCAATTTTGAAAGGAAAACTATTTTATTTTAAAGAAAAAGATACTTGTTTTTGTGCTAGAGACTTAAAATCCTCTGGTTTTGAATGAAGAATAATGGGATTAAGAAATAGGTTGGTCTTAAAAATTGTACTGTGTGTTCCAGCCGAGCATTAAGCAATGTCTTTAAAAGAGATTTGAAAGAATCCAATTCCTCTTACAAAGAGGATAAATGGAAAAATAAAATAAATGTAAAAAAATTTTAAAATGCAAAAGTAAAATAAATGTAAAAGCCAAATTGCACTTACTTTAAAAATTAGCATTTTCTTCTTTGCTGGAGGTTGCAATACAGAGGCATTATTCCAAGTGAAGTTTTTACCTGTATATACTATTTATAACCAAAAAATTCTTTAGCATAAAAATATTTTAACTAAATTACAAAATATGCTTCTGCTTATTTTTCTTTTTCATATTTAAGCTAAATTTTGAAAATTTTAGTAATATAGAGTTTTACAAACTCTACTAAACTGAAACTTTACTTACATCGGTAACTCAATTATTGATTAGGTTAGGTTAAATATTTAAATCTTTTTTTTATATATATCTTTACAGGGTAATGGATTTTACTTGATTTTTCTTGCTTCAGATTTGAAATTATTTTTAATCAGAATCTGACTAATTAATTGGATAGAAACAAATTATGTGAAAAGAAATTTCGCTGCATCTTAACAACGTAAGCAGTGTAAACATTGTTCAGTGGTGGAATGTGTTTCGGTGTAGAATTCAATGATTTATCCTGATCCAGTACAGAGATTAAATGCCAGCTTTTAATTTATCTTCTTAGGAGCTAAAAGAAAAACAGGATTCTAGTCTTAAACGTGACATTGATGGAATGGGAGTCCCAGAAATAAAGTACGGTGATTCAATCTGTTTTGTCCAACATGTGGCCAGTGCCTTATGGTTGACTTACAAAGCACAAGACGCTAAATCAGCACGTTTGGGTCCCTTGAAAAGAAAGGTAATGTTTGAGGGTTTTTTTAATTACTTGTAGTATGATTGTTAGTTGCATAACAGTTTTGGTCTGTCCTGTTTTTTTGCCATTCTACCAATGTGGCAATTGTGGGCTTAACTGGTTTGTGCTGTTTTATTGAAAATGGTGTGAATGTTTCATTCTAAAAAAGAAAACAATGGCGGATATTAACATAACTATGTAACCTGAAGAAAAACTTTGCCACTAAGAAATGTATTTAGCTATTTTTCTTGCCAGAAGAAATTATTAATTTGGGCTCAATTTTTATTTTTGACACGTCGGTAAAATATGGAAATTCCTGATTTGGATGGTCAAATCACTTTTTTGTAAATCTACATTTAACTGTTTAAGGGCGTAAACTTGCAAGTCGTCTTACATTCACTGGTGTTTTAGATTTTTAAATTAAGTATATTGTATGAAATGGCAATTAAATTTGTTACTTAAGAAATGGCCCTAGAAACTCCTCAAGTTTCTTAAGGGATATTAACGAACAATTTCGTGCCAAAATGTTAGATGTAATTGTGATGTGGTATTGAGAAGGTCTTTCTCTCAGCCTTTTGATTATAAGGTATGAGTATATTCATAATTAGGGGCATATGACCTGTTATCTCTTCAAATTATGTTTACATTTCATTCAGAATTAAGGGGTTTACTACTAGCTTCATATAACTGCATCATTACCAAATGATTCTCTGATTCTGTATTCATAGATTTTTACAACTTGAACCTGTTGTTAGAACATGAAAAATTAAAACGTTCATTACAAACAGAAGTTAGAATTCTTCTTTAATTACTTTAATTAATTCACAAGAGGATACCCATACACAAGCACTGTAATACAAAAAATGAGGTCCTCAGCACATCCTTGGCACAATCTTATTTATTTATGCAGCACACATGGTCATAAACTTTTATTCTTCTTTCAAACTGTTTCATTCATGTTCAAAGACTCCAAATCTTTTGTTGCCCTCTCACCTGGAGAATTCTCTCCTGTTAAGTGCCTTCAAACAGAAGAAAACCCAAACCTTCTGGCTTCCTGTAATTGATATTCCTGTGGAGGCAAGAGACAGTTTTTCATCCTCTGCAAAATATGGTACTAGACTATAATTTTGTAAGCAAGTTTAGCTATACACATCCCTTTAAATGTCATATCAAATTTATTTTTCTACAGTAGAAGTGAAGTCATAGCTTTGTATGCATCCTTCACCATCATTTTGTCAGGAGATTTTCACTTTCAGTCTCAAGCAGATCTGCACTTTTTGTTAACATGCCTCAGTAGCCCTAGGAGGACTGAGAAATACCTTATTTTTGCTAGAGGCAAAGGGTGTTTTTTTTCACATAACCTAGCTATTATCACTGACAGCTGCTGCAAATCTGTAGAGAGGAGAAATCAACTATGGGATTAGTTCTGTTATAAAATACTCAAAATGCCAAGTAAAAATTTCTGTTGTTTGGCTTTGGTGTAGTTTCATGTATCCAGTTATCATGCTGTCTTTGCAAGACACAAATAGGTAAGAAATTCTCCATCATTTATGAGGCTTCTGTTGCACAATTTCTGCCAGAATTTTGATCTGTTGCATCTCTCTCTCTGAGATCTTGGTAACCAAGGGTTCAAGACTTTGCCAGGTGGTGAAGATGTTTACATCAATATTCTACTCAACATTCCTCCACTATCCAGTGTGAGTGATGGATGCCTGTCTTTTCAGTTTGAGAGCTTGCTTCTGTGCAAGCTATGAACTCTTCCTGCAGAGCTCCAGAATGCCAGAGCTCACAGAACAGAGAAACATATGCTACATGTTTTGGATTCATGTCCTGGAGACCATTGCTCAGGGTGTTGGTCAACACCAATGCCCTGCTGTACCTCAACAAGCAAGGCAGTGCCAAATGCCCCTTCATATGCAGCGAAGTGGTTTATCTGAGGAATTGGAGTAGGCAGTGCTGGATGCTTCTGGCCATGATCTACTTACTGGAGTTCTAAGTAGCACTTTCTTGTCATTGTGGTGTTTCTGGATGATTTAGCTGAGGTTTTGGGATGGTGTTTTTTGGTCAGAGAAATAGGGAAGATTAGATTCTTCTAAAAGACTTTTCCCTGATCTACTGCATACTTCGGGAGAAGAGTGCATATCTGCTACACAATGGTGAAGGTGCAATTACTTTGCGAAGCGTGGCAGCTTTAATATCCTATCTGTCAAATGTTTTCATTCCTGTACCATTCCTGTAGCTCCAAAATCTTTAGGTGCATGCAATGGCCTGAGGAAACATTATCTGATTGTCAAATGTTTTCTTACTAGTTTTGTGATGGGAAGAACGGTTCTTTAGTTATTGTTCAGTTAAGAGACCCCGGGACCCTTCTTTGTGGAAACAGTGATATCTCAGCTAACAGAGTCACCCAGAGTGTGGCTGTGTAAAGAGGTACTTGAACAAAGAGGAAAGATGACCAATATGTAAACTAGTCTCCTTTAAGATAATATTATCAATATACTCATTCAAAAATGTCTTCCTAGCCTTCTCTATCACATTTCCATGGATTCTGGGGTCCGGATAAACTCATAGGGTGATGTCTGCCTCTTTTAAAAGCACTTCCTCAGCATTGGAAGGAAGGAACAGAGCACATGTGTACTTTGGATCCTGCCAAGTATAGAAAAACATCACATTCCAATGCTTTGGTATACCTATATGCCAGTATGTACAAAAAGCTGTTGGTAAATAACCTTCCCATTTGTGGCAGTAAACACTTGTGTAACATTATTAGTTTCTTTGTTAACTATTCAGTGCTTTCAGAATTACTCAGCTAACTGGGAAGTTGGACAGCAAATTTTTACTATTTCAGAGCTAAAAAAATACATTTTTCAGTGAAGAATTCAATAGGTTACATCTTGGGCAAAGCAGCAGCATAACTCACATTTAATTCTTAGAAAAGTGCTGTAGGATTAATGACTCAAAATGATCAAGACTTGTTTTTGTGATACCTAAAAATTGTGCTGGCTTTTTGTGAAATTGGGTATTTATTTATAGGGAAAAATTAAAAACCCACCGAAGGATGTCTATTATTGCTTGAAGTTCACATCTGGTTCTGATAAGAATCCAGCATAACGTGTAGAGAAGGGTTAAATTGAGTCAGAAGTTACTCATAAATGTTGTTGCGCCTTTAACTGCATTGTAATTTTTATGATGTTTGTCACTCCAGCTTGATTTTCTTGTCAGTAGTCTTTTCATGCATGAATCCTTTAGTAAATGATGCTTAAGGTAGTGAAGATCTTCTTTCCCTGACAGCCAGCATATAGAAAGAATGACATTTTTTGTTTCAATTGGAAAATATTTGATAAGCATATATGTTTAACGAATTGCAGGAGAATAAGGGTACATTAAAATGTCTTCTCTGAATAACTTTTATGTGAGACTGATGACAAATTTGTAATTAATTAATAAACAGGTGTTCAGATAAAGTGATTAACAAGTAGTAGCTCAGTATATATGCAATTACTGTTTTCAGTGCAATATTGAAATAAGTGACAAAATATTTAAAAACACAAAGGTTTTTTAAGTAATTACTGTGATAATTACTGACTTTCAATAGGTTATATTACACCAAGAAGGTCATATGGATGATGGTCTAACATTACAAAGATGTCAGCACGAGGAATCCCAGGCTGCTCGAATCATTCGCAATACTACAAGCTTATTCAGCCAGTTTATAAGGTAGTTGTTATCATCTTCTATACAATCATTTTTTGTTTGTTTGTTTTTTAAAGTATTCTGAAATGGTAAGAATTTCTCTAAAAGAATCCTTATTTCCTGCTTTCAAGTATTTATATTTAGAAGCTAGTAGCAATAAATTTTTACTGACTTAAGTTTGTAATTTTGATGAGTAATGCCATTAAATAAATAAAACAGCTTATTTAAGATTATTTACATGAAATCTAATACCTTGAAGCCAGAAGCAAACTCGATCATAATCCAGGTTGAAGAAAACATGCTAAATGATCTTAGTGTAACTCCATTAGTAAGTATTCTACAGTAGCTAGAACTTCACAATATTCATAAAAGGGTTCTTATTTTTCTGTTTTTCTTGGTAGACCAAATATTATAGTTAAGTCTATTCAAATTTGTCAAACTATCGGAAAGGAATATTGATGCCTAATACTGTTTAGATCAAAAATACGATGGGAAGCCACAGCAGCCCCAAGTCCATGCAAATAAACAATAGAAGGAAGTACAAAATAGATCTCTACATGTCTGGGAGGAGAATACCAATTTATTGCCTTCAAAATCTGGGCTGAAATATTTTACCTGTACGTTTTTAATCACCCATCCTGTTGATCCTCCGACTTCTCTATCACTCCTCTGATCGTACCTGGAAGATTTAAAGATCAGACGAGAGGCAGTTCTCTCTGGTAAACTGTATGCAGTATAGCAGATTATAGGCAGTAACAACAATTAGGGCAGAAGGCTAACTGTCAGCTGAAAAGGTAAAACGAACGACTTCTTAACTTCTCTCTCTCAGTTAAATTACTATGTGAGCATTCCTAAATGTCCTGTTTAAACTAACACATTTATTTGCAGTGGAATGGATTTATGGGTATTCAAAGTCAGTAACAGCATCTCAGCAGTGAAACACTGACTATGTCTGATTTTAAGGAATAATTCAAGTTGTGATTCTAAGACTTTAGAATAGAATCAGTAGAATCACCTTCTGAATAGCATTTATCTTCCAAATCTTTGCTGTTCTAGAGGGCAACTCAGTTAGTAATTATGGCTCAGTAAGAATTATCTGAGATTGGGTTGTTCCACTAACTGTATAATAGAACTCAAAAACTAATGTGGAAACAGTGATGGCTATTTCCACAGATCAAAACACCAAAGCCCTTGGATACCTGGGCATTGTGAAACATGCAATATATGAGTACCCTGAGCATGGAGTCAATACTACAAAGGATATTAGAAAGTCAGGGAATTTAAACAATTTAATATGATGCCAGACTTGCTCTGTCATAATCTTGATTTGTTGAGAAAGTTGTATAAAGAGCTGTACTTGTTAAGTAGTTGCCTAATATCCTTGCCACACATGTGGCAACATAACACCTTTCTTTTCATGGAAAAATACAATGTTGGCCAATAGCAAAACAAATGTGTTGGACATGAATATAATTTAAAGCAGTTTATCTAAATTTGTATGTTGCTGACTGAAGAGCCTTTGCGTCCTCAGGAGATGTTGAATCTTAATGAACCATTGACAAAATGAGCATGAAAAGATACTGTATTTATCACATTTCATCCCTAGTTTCTGGATTCAAGCCTGTATTTAAACAATATTATTTATGAAATAGTTTTTTTGAATCAAAGTTTGACTTGCTTTCACCATATTAATGCACTTGCTTCAGCTTAAATTTTTCCAGTCCTCTTCAAGTATATGTTGTGCCTAAAAAGGTTTCTTCTAATGCTTTACATCATCTGGCTTGTCAATTTGTACAAAACTGTTCAGAATGTTTTCTGTCACTTACCAATTTAGCTTAATTTTCACAGACCTTAGTTACCAATAAGTTTGAGACTTTACATGGAAATAGTTGTAAACTGATTGTTCTCATGAGCGCTTTAGTATTCGAATAATGAAGGGAAGTATCACGAAAACTGTCTTACATGTGTGGTTGTATTTGACTTTTCGAATAATACCTTTAGCTATGTTGGTTTGAAAATATGGGGCATTTTGAAGCATAGTTCTATTATGCTATTTCTTTTGTTACTTTTGTTCCTTTTCCCTTCCCTCATTCTTTACAGTAAATTGTTGGCAGAAGTTTTAATTATGATGATCAAGTGGTCATCCTTGTATTACTGCCTAATAGATGAAAAAATGAAGAAAAATGAGTTTATAATTAAGAATTCACTTCCACAGAACCCACCATATGAGACTGCCTTTAAAACATCACTTCTTCGGTATCACAAGGGACTATACTACTCCTTTATATTTCTTGTGCTGAGGATATAAAAACAGAGCCACCTCTGCTAGCAATCAGCTCCTCCTAGATTATGCTATTTATAATAGTGAGTCAGACCCTGAAAAATTGCATTGTCACCCAAGATTGAGCAAATGCTTGAACAGGAAAGAGACATTATTTTACTGACAACTGAGATTTCCTTGAAATGCTTTGTATTTTTAAATACCACTCTTCTTTATTTCCTATATAGAGTTGATACAGAAGACCTAATTAATGGTTAGGATTACCTGTTATTTTTGTGTTCTTTGCCTAGAAGACTGGGGGTGTACAGCCTCAATAAATGCTACTATTTTAGTCCATCTGCACATTACACCTATATCATCAATAGGATTTAAAGTATCTAAACAAAATCAATTACTGTAAGAAAGGACTTCGGTACATCTTTCATCTCTGTTTCGTCTTTTTGCTGACTTACATTGTTTTCTTCTGTTCATTTTTTCAGTTTTTTTAAATCATTCCCTCGCTTTACATCAGTGCAGAAAGGGAAACATAATTCCACTCCAATTCCGAGTGCTGGACACCCAAACAATAGATGTTTGAATGATTTACCATTCAGATCATCTGTTGCTCATATACGTATGTCATATGTATAACAAGACTTGATTTAGATACCAACAGAAAATAGGCTGCTACATAATACTGTAAATTACAGTCGGAAAATGAATAATGCTGCCAGTCTTTCTTGTTGTTGTTTTCTGTAGTGGAAACAACAGAACACTATCACCCACTGCCCTGCCTGTTGAGGAGATGGCTCAGACTCTGCAAGACCTGATTACTTACTTCCAGCTTCCCGAAGACGACCTGGAACATGAAAATAAGCAAAGCAAGCTTCGGTCACTCAAAAACAGACAAAATCTATTCAAAGAAGAGGTACAGAGAGAGGAATTGTTACATTATTTTAATTTTAAGTGTATCATGTCACGAACATTGAGTAGAACGTAAACATTATCATGTAGATGCACGCAGATGATTTATAATGTAGAGTTCCATAGCTGAAATATATATAAAAAATAGACTGTAATGCTGTATAACTTGCTGTTACATATTTTTCACTTCACACTTGTCACAGGCCACAAGTGCTCTCTCATAAAATTTGGTTTTAATACTTCTAAGCATCTTTAAATACTTCTAAGCATCTTTAAACAGATGTCATTTTTAAAAGAAACGATTGTGACAAGAAATTTCTTTTTCTTTCTATGAAGTTATACATTCTGGATACCCCAAATGAAAAATAACATTTATCATTGATTCAAGGTTTATTTCTGGTGTCTTTTCTGTCCACCAGGGTGTGAAACAGGAACTCTTTATCTCTAGAAACTGGAAGAATGCTAGTTTTAGAGAAAGATATGTATTACATAATTGTAGAATTGCTTCTCTCTGAAAACAGAATGATTACACTTCTGTATAAATAGGAAATATATTTTACAATGTTTTTAGACATGTTTGGATTGCTTGCAGGTTTTCCATACCATTTTAGTCTCCAATCAAACTGAAGTTAAAAATCTATTCTAGTATTTGAACATGTTTGTTTTACAGATATTTTATTGGATAGTAGAATTTCCACCTTTTTTAATGAACAAAAATTACTTCGTATATAAATTTGAAGTGGTTTTTTTCCTATGTAAAAGAGAGTCTGTTCACAAAAAGTGTAAAAGCCTTTATTGTCAGCTGTGTTTATTCCTTACTTTTTATAATACTTAGCTGAATAAGGAACAGTATTGAATCATTCTCTAAAATGGATGATTCTGATACAGAAAAATACATATTCAAATCTTACAAGCACAGTAGTTTGGGGTTTTTTTATTCTAAGATGATGCAACTTTTAAATATGTACAGGAAAAAAATCTTTTAAAAGGACAACAACAGATGCTTTTTCATGTACAGTTCGTTTTCGTCTCTGTCATGTGTTTAGGGAATGCTGGCACTAGTTTTGAATTGCATTGATCGCTTAAATGACTACAACAGCGCAGCTCATTTTGCAGGAATTGCAAGAGAAGAGCATGGTACAGCATGGAAAGAAATTTTGAATCTCCTTTACAAATTGTTAGGTAAGTTCTTCAATAATCTATTAATGTAAAAAAACAGGATATGTATTCTTTATATTCTACTTGCTATATTCACCACCAAAGAATAGTTTGTGTGTTATTCATTCTATCATGTAAATTACAGAATTTCTTCCATATACTTGCTGATATTTATTACAGAGAACAGAGTTCATTGAGCAATGATACAGCAGAGAAATAAATCTCAGCTAGGAAAAAGATTGGCGCAGCATGCCAAATGTGTTTTGTTTTGTTTTGTTTTAATTTAAATGTACCCGTGATATGCAAATAGGTGTGAATTATTATTTTAAAAATTGGAAAAACTGGACAACAGTCCTTATATATGAAGCTGACGAGAAGCCTAAAAGTGATAGTCAGAACTTATAGATCTGCTGAATCCATGTTTGTCACTTAAGGCTTAGATGTAAATGTTAATAAAAATAATTACATAAAAAAGAAATTAAAATCTTTTTTTTCAATTTCAGTGCCATGCTTTCTAGGTCAAACTGTTTCTGTATTGTAGTAGGGCCAAAATTATAGAGTAGGAGATATATAAGTGTATTTCTTTAAATCACTAATTTGCTACCTGAGTTGCGTAATTCCTCATATAGGAGAATCTTGTCTTCTGATGGAGTCTAAGTACATTCTAATTTCATTACAAAGAAAGTTAGTCCTGAACCACAGTAAAATATGCAAGTCGAGAGTTAGGACAAGAATAAACAAGGGGAAGTGCTTTGAAGCATGAGGTTATTTGCACAGCACAGACATACAGATGCTTCTGGTGAAATCTTCTCATTGCTTTAGAAAGTAATGAGATACCGTTGCCTGCATTTTACTACAGTCTTATGAGTTTAAAGAAAAGTAGGATGAAAAAAACCTCTTTAGTGCTTCGTAGGCCTTTTCAGATTTTGTCTTGATTTTCTTCTGCAGGTACATCTTGAACACGCTTGTTCTGATGTAATAAAAATTAAGTTAATACTTCATAATAAAACCCTTGACAATTGTATGCAAAACGCTTTTTTATTGTTTTTCTATGATAAGTAATAACTTCTGGAAGAAAAAAAAACCAGTATTGCTTGAAATACTTGAATGCTGATGAACTTTCAAAGTGCAGTCAAGTAACATTGTGTTATGCGCTGCTGAAGACTAAAAGCTATCCATTCTATAACATGTTTTAATCAGAAAGTAGAGCTAAAGAGCAGTACAACCAACCTGTACTTGAGCTTAAACTTCTGCATATGGTCTTCCCACTCATTGGTACAAAGAAATAGAAAAAGAAGTGTTTCAGCCTCTTGATCATGACAGTGCTTGACATTTGCATCAAACAAGGGTGGTGGATAATTTCTATTTAAATTTAACAATAAAATAAAAGATAAATAAAACATTTTTTTTGCTGAAATTGTTGTTAATCCAGTAGACCCCTGTCAACTTCAAAAACTACATGCTCTGTAAAAGTTATGTCAGTTGCTGATATTCAAATTAATGAAAATCTTAATTCTTTATTACCGTAACATATGTGTATTTGGGATTTGTCTGTTTATTATTTTGTGAAGTTGTTATAAAAATTGTGTTAAAATATCTATGATTAACATTGGTGATTTAAAAAGGAAATCTCCTGTTACAAAATTATACCTTGTGGGTTTTTTCCAGCTGCTCTCATTCGTGGCAACAGAAACAATTGTACTCAGTTTTCCAGTAACCTCGATTGGCTAATAAGTAAATTGGACAGAGTAGAATCTTCCTCAGGTAAGACTCACTTTTATCAGTGTCAATTAACTATCAATACACCATACACAGCTGTCAGAGCAGTTTTCCTTGAATACATTATGTGTTAGAAAACAAATACACTGCATTTTTTTTTAATTGAGCAAAGTATTACATTTAAACAGACATTTTTATGGCATTTTTTGGTTCCATACATTTGGTATGTGCAATATCACGTCCAATCAGTGCTGAACGTGACTTCAGTGAATTAATGAATTGGGTTAGACGGTATTAAAACTACTGTCCCATTGCTATCGAATAACACCAGAGCTGTTTGTGGGCACAAGTACAAATAACATATATATGTATATATATATGTAGAGAGAGAGAAGGTTTTTTTAATACAAAATACTGAAATACTATAAAATGCTCCCTACTAAAACCTTTATCTCTTTCATTGAAAAGAAGGAGCTAAACTTGCATTTTTCTCAAATGGTTTTAAAATTGTGGCTCTTTTCAAAAGAAAACAGAAATTAGCAGCTTCATAATGCATTTATGTCTAATGTGGTTCACATCATAGTCATATCAATACCCTTTAAAAGTGTTTTCATTCTCTTTTTAGGAGAAAAGATAGCACCTCTTAAGATACTCTGTTATTTACTGAGCTTTTAGATTGTGTTCAGTTGCACGGATGATTTAATGACAACATTATTTGTGTGGCCTTCATACAGGTATTTTGGAAGTGTTGCACTGCATCTTGACTGAAAGCCCAGAAGCTTTGAATATAATAGCTGAGGAGCACATCAAATCCATTATTTCATTGTTGGATAAACACGGGCGCAAATACAAGGTATGTTTGGAAAACTAGGGATGTATTGATAATCTTACAATCATTTGTGGAAAAAACCCAGAGAAATGTCTACATGGAGATATGTGATTTTAGTACCTTTAAAGGGATAAAATAACCTTGAAGTACATGTGCAAAATTGCTTTGAGATTAAAAAATGTGTAATATATAATTGCTTTTCCGTTTCAAATACAGCAAATACGTATGACAAGCAAATAGTTAAGAAATATGATAACCAGTCAGAACTTTGGATTTGCTGAGAAAATGAAGCATTCTGGTGGCTGTAAGCAGGTGGACAGAGTAGCTTGCTTTGTGATGCAGGGCTCTACAGAAGCAGTGAACTACCATTGTTGTATCTGCAGAAAGACAGAACTAAATCCTGCAAAGTCATTCCTGACTTGAGTAATAGTAATAGTAGCAGAAAAGAACAAAATAAAATGAGAGATCGGAAAAATAATCCAAATTTCTGAAAACACAGGAGTTCAGAAGAAAGGAAAAAAACCCCTGAGTTATACCAGAAGAAATAATGGTGGAAATAAATTTAGACATCAATGTGCAATTTATTATGACAGAAGAAGGTGAACACAGTTTCTGACTGCGATCAGGATGTCATCACAACACAGAGGAGAATATATAGTTTTATGTGTGATTTTCTGATGTGAGTTTCCTTCCTCAATTAAAATTTTATTTGAAAGACTGATAATCTGGAGGAAGAACAAAGAAAGTTTTAGTGAGCTGAAATTACTGATTTACAGGAGAAGGTAATACAGAGAACCTAACCAACTCCAGACACGGAAGAGGAGAGAAGTATTTTTAAGCATGGTTAAGGAGTATGAACTGATATAAGTAGGCATAAGAAAAAAGTTGAAATTACAGCGATAAGTTTAGTGTACTATTTTTAGCTATTAGCTAGATTATTGTGCTGTGCCAGTCATCTGCAAAGAGAACCTTTCAGCTGGAGCATCTTAATGTAGACCTCATAGTGAGAACTTAAAGCAGAAAAGGAAAATGTTGTGTACAGGAGAAGAATTAGACTGAGTAATGGATTTGTGCATTTCCATTTGCAATGTCTTTGACTAAACATCAGTAAGTAATGAAGTAATGTGAAGTAATGAATTTATTTCTTACTCTGGAAACAGTATATCTTGTTCTCCTGCTAGATTAGAAATTCTGTTGTGATTTAGGAAATACGAAACAGTAATATTATTAGCCAAAATTGTCTTGGAAATTATTGATTTGAAGGATTTTTTAAATGAAAAGCCTTGTGTCAAAAATATGGTCAGCAAGTGCATAGAAATTGTTTAAACGGTTTATATGTAAATTCTGAGTTATTGATAATCGTTAAGGTTATTAAGACACTTTACGGCTGAGTACTGGTCAGAGTTTCTGCAGTTATTTAAGTTATTACCTCTATCCTTCTGCTAGAGGTTTCTGCCCAATAACAGAGGTGGTAGAAAGGAAAATGCATAGGCTGGGACATAGCAAAGTTCACAATACATTAGTTTACACTGCTGTTGCGTGTTCTCTCTTCCAAAACCTTTTGCTTCAGTAATCTGTGGGAGAATTATGTCAATCTCTTTCACTTTTCAGACTGTGACCAAAAAAAAGAAAGCCAAAATTTTAGAATAAGATCTTTCTGAAACTCTGTTTTGCTTTTATAGTGAATTCTTTTAAATGTTTTTCATTTTAAAAATAAATGCATTACTTCTCATATTGAAAACATATTTTCAGAACAGATTCATAAGCAGTCTGAGAATTGCAGTTGAGAATTGCCCACTAATTTTGCTCAGAAAGTTTTTTGGGCTGCAGTAAATTTCTCAAAGAATTTAATTTTACATTTCAAGTTTTTAATGAGATTTAATTAAAAAAATTGTAAAGAGTTGACATACTGCTGTTCTAGCTTTGCTTTTTTCTAATCGAAATGAGAATAAGGAAACTCAAAGGAAGGTTTTTGAGGCATTTTGCAAACCCTGTGTTCTGAATTTGTGTTCCAGGAATGTTTGATATCCTCTATCAGTAGTACAGACTACACTTGGTCCATATATGTGAAAAGTATTTAGAAAACAATCATGATAATGTGTATTATATTCCTTCCTTTAGAGGTCTATTCTGAATGTAAATTAAGCTAACAACTGCCTTTCCCTAACTTTCTTCTGATTTTTTTTTTTTTTTTTTTAAGATTCTCGATGTGCTTTGCTCTCTCTGTGTCTGTAATGGAGTTGCGGTTCGTGCCAATCAAAATTTGATCTGTGACAATCTACTGCCTAGAAGAGACTTACTCTTGCAAACACGTTTGATTAATGATGTGACAAGGTATAGTGACATGTTTTATTGTTATATTAGAAAAAATGGAACTTGCATGTCTTTGATGATTAGTTGAAGAAAATACTGTAACCTAAGATATGTTCCACACCTTTCAATATTGAGACACACACTTTAGGAAGTGTTTATGTATCAACTTCTGAAAAAAACATTTCTACTAACAATACAGCAATTGTAATGGAAACTGTGCTCAAACAGAAATTGCCAATTAATAGTGAGATCTGTTCTGAAATGGAAAGATGAAATTTGCTTGTTTCTCATTCAAAACAGAGGATGGCTTTACCTAATAATTATTACAGAGTATGTAAACATGCTGTGAAGTACTTGTGTGTTTTAAGAGGGATCTGATTTCCTGGCAACCTCACTCCTGTTTTTTTGATTTTAGGAAATGATCTTGTTATTCCTTTTTTGACTATAAGTTTTTCAAAGCATGGAACCTATACCTGAGAAGATGATTCTACAGCAGCTGTATAAAGTCATAAAATGGCTCACTATTTTAAATATTATAAGAAAAATGTGGACATCTACACTCTTACTGTATTTGCAAAGTGAATTTGACTATTATACAGCAATATAATTCATATGTCACATTTTATGTTTACACTAACTGGCTTACATTTTCTTTCTTAGCATAAGGCCAAACATATTTTTGGGTGTTGCTGAGGGCTCTGCACAATACAAGAAGTGGTACTTTGAGTTAATAATTGATCAGGTTGATCCATTCTTGACGGCAGAACCCACCCATTTACGAGTTGGATGGGCCTGTACTTCAGGTTATGCCCCCTATCCTGGAGGTGGAGAAGGATGGGGAGGCAATGGTGTTGGTGATGACCTGTACTCTTACGGTTTTGATGGCCTTCATCTGTGGTCTGGTAAGTACTTTGTTCACTTCCACTTACTCTTACATTTAGGAATTACCTACCTTTACCTTCAGTACCTGTGTGTATATAGCGTGCTATTTTATAGTGAGCTACATTCAGAACTCCAGGATACCATGAAGTTATTTAGAATTTCAGATCAGACTTCTTGTCTGAGATTTCAGTTAATATTGAATTATACCAATTAGGCTTTTTAGCAGATAGCTTCTATTTTCATGATTTCGATCAAAAATGGCATTTTCCAGATCTAGATCAATATGACTTAAGTCTATCTGTTCAAGATCAATGGATGTATTGATCTCAGGCAAATTCATTGTATATGGATCTACATTTGCATTATTCTTTCACTTTGTATCTACAGTTGAAGTAAAATGACATTGTTATCAGATTTAATAAATTGAATTTAAATTTTGGTAAATAGTTTCATAAAAGATAATTTTGGCAATTAGAAATAAGAATTGCTCCACAATTAACCAACTTAGGTTGTTTTTAGAACATAAATTTCTGTGGTGTAATATCAAACTGAAAACCTGTAGTTGCTATGCTGTTTGAAAAAATATTTTTATTTTTTCTAAAATTATTATCTAAAATATTATTATTATCTAAAATAGGCTTATTATCTAAAATAGGCTTAGCAGAAAAAAAAGAGTTTTTCTAGGAATGCTTCTTAATGTGTGTCGTAATCTAGGAGGCTCTCAATTAGTACTGCAGTGAAGTGGTTACTCTTGCAGTTTATAAAGAAGTTAGTTAATGGATGCCAGAAAATGCATATTTTGTGGTCACTTGAGGATCAGTGATGGTAAACTTGTGGTCTTATTAGCCATTCTTTGTTCAAGCAAATTGAAGATGTTCGTGGACTGAGTTAACAAAAAAGTGGAAGTCACTGGCCATGTAATTGGATAGATTTGATTAAGAGCTCTAGAAGAGTGAAAGGAGTTTACAGGAGGGCTCATCTGAAGCATTGCAGTTCAAATAATTTTTGTAACAATGAGTGTGTTATAAAGAATAACCACTGAGGAAAAAAGAGGAAACAGAAGAATCTGATTAGGATGCTTTGGAGAGGGGTTAGTGAGATCCCTCTGGGGTGCATAGTTAGCTGGAAAGTGGCTTTGGACTATGAGCAAGGCTGTTGCTTTTTGTGTGGTTATGCCTCCCCTAATACTATATCGAGGGAAAGGGATCTAGAATATACTTTTTGTAAGCAGACGGTTTTGTCACAGCAGAATACCTTTTGACCGTGCCAATGTATGTTCCTGTAGAAACAACCAGCAAAGTGCTATTGGCTAATTGTAAGAATCAAATGGCAACACAGGAAATGCCGGTGGTTGGTTTTGCTTTCTGAAAGTTCCTAAATACTCTCTAAATAAGGAACACATCAGAGAAGAAATAATGCATAAGGCCATAAAATAATAAAATATTTAGGTAATTAGTTGTATACCCTTAATTACATCATCTGCTATCTTTGTAACATTATTCTTAATCAAACTATCAACAAGTAATGAAAGGAGAAAGAAAAGCAGTAGGAAGCAAAACAGTTGCTAAAATTTCTAGACGATTTTACATATGTATTCTGCTTACATAAATATTTAAAACAGAGCTCTGGCAATTAGGTTTTGTACCTAAAATGTGTAACAATCTATCTTAATTGGTAAAGGTCTTTCGTTCATATAGAAGATTTTGTTAAGAATATAGATGAAGCTGAAGGATCCCCTTTTATTAACATTGCATTAATATGGTCTAAAATTGTATTGTCTCTGGCTTATACCTTAGTTAATCATAAATTGTTTGAGAGCAAATTTTATTGGCTGGGTCTCTGCCTTAAGATAGAATTGAGTTGAAAACTGAGTTCATTTTCCGGAATGAGATGTGGACTTTTTTTTCCAAAGTTAGACAATTCTGGCCACCTTTTCTCTGACATGTTCAAACATTGAGTTGGGAATGTAACATTTTGTTGTAAAAGACATTTTGTAACAATTTCTTTAACCAGGAATTTAGCTTTCTATGTTTCCTGTAAAAGTCTCTTAAAATTTGTTCAAAAGACTTCGAAAAAACTTTAATATCAGCACACTCTATAGATCTGTCTTGATTCAACGGTTTTGTTTCTCGAGTGTGTAGCCATCCATAAGCATTCAGAAGTTTGGGGAAAAAAGTAGACGTTATTTCAGTCCTTGTTTGTACAATCTTTAATTATGAAGTAGCATGTTATTTTTCCTTCCAGATCTCTTTTGCATATAGTAAATGATGGTTATTTTTTAACTTTTTCAATTTGTGACTTGTGCTTTATTTACTGTACACTATTCAAGGCATGTAGGCAAAATCATTAATTTCCCCGTATTTCTTAGTGCCTTGAAATGCCATATACAGCTAAGTACTCTTTAATTGCTCAGAAAAGAATAGTGTGGGGCCACACAATTAAGAGGTGTGTTGTAGATCCAGTGTACATAAATACGCTGAATTCGATTTTATGGCCTTAATTCTAACATTTCCTAATTTGGGTGTGTTTGACTTTTCAATTATATTAGCATTGTTCTAGCATCAGATTTTGTGTATAAAATATCTGTGTTTGTGTGTGCACACACAAACATAATTCAATTTTTTTTTCAGCACTACTGAACAATTCTCAAATGACAGAAACTGATTTTTGGGAGTAGGCTGAGAGACATTTGTAACATACTCCATTAGAAATGGCTGAATAAATCATTAAACACTAATTGAACCTCAGAAATACAGTGCTGGAAAGTCTCTTAAATCTCAGATCCTGCAGTAAGGGAAAATTCAGAGTACTTAAACTGTCCTGAACAGTTGACTTGGCTTGTTCTTAAGAAGTTCCAAATACATAGTTTGGAATAGTGCTTAACTGCTTAATTAGTCTTGCTTTACAGTTAAAATACAATGTTGTGAAGGGAATTGTTTTGAAAGGAATTCTGAAGAGATATTCCTTGGCTAAAAATATACTCAGATGCTCAAGTGCAATTGAAAAACTGCAGTTATCTGTAAATGTGTATAGTTAGATTACTTGAGATATATTATCTGTAGTTAATTGTTATAATTGCTGAGTCTTGTGCATGGCTGTAAGGTTCCACCTTCCATTGACGGGGCATCCACAACTTCTGTGGGGAACCTGTTCCAGTGTCTCACCACTGAATATTCAGAGATATGCGAATCTGGTATTTCACAAATAACTAAAGAAAAAAAAAATTTGATATATCAATGTTAGCTTTAAAAAGAGGGCATCATTTACTGTGTCTCAGTACTCTTGCATCAGGCTACGGTGTGAACTTCCATGATTTCAGCTGAGCATGTTCTGTCTTGCAAACAGTGTCAGAGGTCTCAAGTGATTTGCTCAGTTTATGCACTTTTCTGCCACATATCAATTTGAAGAATGTTGACTCACTGTCTGTCTCTAAAAGCAGAACCATTCATAAAACAGATGAAGGCAAGATCATGTCTTCATGACGACGAACAAAAAACTTGATGATGTTTTTGAGGAAATAATTCCATTATTAAACCTGTGAGAGTCTGCTTAAAGGTTCTGATTACTGAGTACTTTTATCCTAGGTCGAGTACCCAGAGCTGTAGCATCTGTCAATCAGCATTTATTAGCATCTGATGATGTGGTTAGCTGCTGCTTGGATTTAGGTGTACCCAGCATTTCATTCCGCATTAATGGACAGCCTGTTCAAGGAATGTTTGAGAACTTCAGTACAGAAGGGTTTTTCTTCCCTGTTGTAAGCTTATCAGCAGGTGTGAAGTAAGTACAACTTAATTTTAATTGTTGTTTTCTTTGCTGTCTTGTCACACAAAATATTGTCCAAATTAATGTATGATTTGTTCTGTTTTGTTGTTTCGGTTCTGCCCAACCAGCAGCTGGGAGGGAGGGAGGCAGGAAAGTACTGATTTGTTTAGTGATGATTTCGCTTAAAGGGTGAAATGTGAGCCTGTTAGCAATTTGACCAAGTCACAGTGTCTGAAAATTATTATTTTATGAGTATTTGGTGACCTGGGGGAAATTAATTTTGTCTCATTCCAATTATCAGTGACAAAACCCCACATTAGAAACACAGCACTACATTTGGCACTAATTAAAATTCTTCAGGAATCATGAAAACTGATACTATATTCACAGTAGGAAACACAAAGAACTGATGGAAGCAGTTTTGGAATCTCGTTACTAATATTGCCCATTTCTTACCTGTTTTTTGTAGCTAAAATACTGAAATTCAAACTTACCACCTTCAGGCTTCTATTGTCATCTTACCTTTAATTCATTCAGAAAATCTGCAAATGTCATTCTACTTAAGTGGTCAAAATACTTCTGTTAACGGTACAAAGCTGACACAACAACAGAACACTAGCTCTTGCACTGTTGTTGTAACATGACCAATTTCTGTTCAGTTCATCTTAGAGCATCTTTATTGCTGGTATTGACAGGCAACAATTTTAGGATAAGTTATGAAAATTTTTCACTATGAAAAAATGCTAACGGTCTAGATGTCAAGAGCTGGCAGGAACTGCCAAACTTAGAAGAAATAGTCAGGGGTGGACTAAGATACTGTGGTGAAGGAGTGAAAAAATGCAAAGGGCTGGCTTTTGTTTAAAGGAGGGTTTCTCTTATACGTGGTAATTTTTGAGATGTGAAGGTTCGGTATGGTCAGAATAGACAGTATATAGCTTTCATAAGTGAAAGAAAGCTCAGGTTATAAATGGTTCATACATTTAGCAATTAAGAAAAAAGAAATCTTTGTTTCTCTGAGGTGAAGTAAATCAGATAACTAGTTCTCTGTGGGCTTTTCCTTCTGTGATCAATATATAAATACTTGGAGCATCTCATGCTTAAGAGAACCTCCCAGGTAAGAATACTAACAGAGACCAAACAGAATAAAGTGGGCCTGGGAAGGGCTTAATAAATCAATTTTCATTTATTCTCTGGGAATGACCCTACTATGTAGCTGCATTAGTACAAGAGCTTTTGAAAATGTTCATTACTTTTTTCTGTAAGAAATCTGCCTAAACTGGTGTAATTATTTTTCTTCATTCTTATTTGATGTTGTTTGTGTATTTTGTGAGAGCATTTTCCCTTGTAGTTAATAGTAACTGGTGGCAGTAGCAGGTTATATGTCACCTTCTGTGTCGGTTAATATCAGAGAAATATTATTACATGGGAATCCTGAGTTTATGAGTGGAGGAGTGTGTTCTGCACTGGGCACAAACTCTTATGTTTCTACTTCTGTTGTGGCTTATCTGCCTTTCCTCTGCTTTCTGTGACTTTCTCATCACTGATTCTGGGTCTGCTTTATCATTCCATCATCAGTTTTTCCTCTCTAAACCTTTTCAGCACCTGTTTACCTGCACTGTGTCTTATTCTGTTTTTTACTGTAGGCATTTTCTCCCTATGCATTTTTTCCTCCTTCTATGGTGCCAATGGTGCTATGAGCTCTACTTGTAGTACTACAATATGGCCATTCAAATAATCAAGGAATTTAAACAACAACTCTGTATTGAGAATTAATTTTCTTTTCGTCTATTTTTCTTTTCTTCTACTCAGATTTATTTAACCTTATCTTAAAAAGTGCGTAAACACAGAGATAAAGAAATGAAATATGAGATTAACTTTAAATGAGCCATCCAGCATGTTTTTAGGGAAGTTAGGGGTCTGGATGTGTTGACGTGAAAAGTCAACATCTTAAAAGTAAATGCCTGGTGCTTTTATTAATTAAACATGAGGTATGTTAAATACTGTTATCATGGGAGTCTTGTCTTTCACACACAGCCTTTGTAGTAAGCAAAAGACTATTTAGCATAGTCTTGTCATTCGGGCTATGAAAACTAAGTATAACTGCTAGTAAATTGCTAGAATGGTAGGCGCAGTTGCTTATGTACAGCCCAACTCCAAATGAAGCAAAAGGAGTAGTAATTAACCTAAATCGATCTCTTGAGCTATTTCTAGCTGTCTTCTAGGAGTTATATTGCTTTATATTTGATTTTCAGGAGGGTTGTGTTTAAGGTTAAGGTCAGACAAATTAAAAACAAGTTTTTCAAATGGAAAGATCTGAACATTTCTTTTAAAATGAGACAAAAAGCCACAACTTTTTGGAGTGTTCAGGTTTTTAAAAGGGAGTGTGCAGCATTAGGAGGATATAGCCCGTGTGGAGGTTTAGATACTGCAGTGAAGAGCAGGGAGAAAACAGGCCTTGGAAGGAATAAGAACATCACAAAGATCAAGTGAGATTGAATGGTTTGCTACAACTCAGAAAAATTGACCAAGTTGGCAGGAAGCAAGGAGCTATTTACTGGGGTGTGGTTGGCAAGGGAAGAATTTCATGGACGTTTTTTCATTTTGATTCTTCCTTTGACTTTTGTCTATTTAGGAAGTTAGACTTCTAGGTCTTAAAATAAATTGACCTCCTTTTTATTTTTAAAGTATTTTGATCGGTGTGGGGGCTTGCCATAAAGAGAGGTCTAAGCTCAAAGTTGTCATCTCAAATATTTAGCTGCCTTGGGATCATTCAAATCTTTTAAACAATGTGTTTTTAAAATGAAATTAGAAAGTTCAAGCTTAATAGAAGTAATCAATAATAATACATTTCTCGTGGACATTGAACCGTTTCAGATATTTGTGACTTGTGCTAATATACATCCTGTTTGAGAAAACTTGTGTGTCTTAATTTTTCTCCTGTTTTTATATTATGTCTCTTACTGTCAATGAAATATCTTGATCTGATAGTTCTAGTATTTCTAGAAGTGTAAGTAAAAAGTCATGTAGGCTGCTTCTGGTCACCCCATCACAATCAATAGATGGGCTAGTTCCTAGAGATAAGAATTGCTCTTAATTTTTGTGATTGTTTACCTTTAGAGTTTGCCTACATGAGGACCAAAGTGTGAAGTTGGATAGTTTTTTGTCTTTGTTGTTTTTCCTGATATACTCTTAAATTTGTACAAAAAATATATATCTGAGGAGAAACAGAAAACTTTAGGGGTTTAATAGGAATCTTGGTTATGCTTCTGAAACTCATTCCCAGTTGCATTATTTGGTATAATTTTGTTTGCTTGATTTATGTATTATGATTGTAGTGGGTTTTTTTCACCATATCCTCTGTTGTTTTTTTTCCTCACGTGACAACTGCCTGCATGAGTGCACTTAAAACTTTCAAGTGGTATATAAATAGTCCCTATGGGATTTTTTAGAGTAACAGTCCGATGTAAATTAGATTTGTGTTTCCAAATAATTTAAATGCATTAAAAATTTCACAATTTACAACCATTTGATTTTAAGTAAGAAACATTTTTTTTGAAAATACGCTACTGCATTGAAATTTTTTTTTTTTTTTTTGGCCAAAACAAATTTTCAAAAAATAGTGGGTAGGTGGTGGTGTTATTGATAGTATCTGCTAGTATGAATGCTTGGTAACTCTTTGGTATTTATCAAAGCATGAAATACCTGCATTTTTGTAAATACTATTCAAATAAATGTTTAAGTTTCTAAATTATTTATTTATAATGTTAGTATATGCTGACTATTTAAGAGTATAATTTCTTCATTGAAAATTGCACAGAGTTCGTTTCTTATTGGGTGGACGTCATGGAGAGTTTAAATTTCTGCCTCCTGCTGGCTATGCTCCTTGTTACGAAGCATTGCTTCCAAAAGAGAAGATGAAACTGGAACCAGTGAAAGAATATAAGAGAGATTCTGATGGAGTGAGGGATTTGCTGGGTACAACACAATTTCTCTCCCAAGCTTCCTTTATCCCTTGTCCAATAGACACCAGTCAGGTATGTTAAGTATGCAATAATATGTCTTAACAAAATTTAAATTCACAATATAAAAACTAAGCTAGCTTATCCCCTTTCTTAGCAATTCATCATTTGTGTGTTGTGGTGTATTTAACTGAACTAGATGATCTTGGATCTACAAGGTGTGGTAACTGGAACCTTTTCTTATTTGTGGAATTGTTATGCTCTTTTCTTAGATTGCTCTTCCTTTTCATCTTGAAAAGATCCGGGACAAACTAGCTGAAAATATCCATGAACTGTGGGGAATGAATAAAATAGAACTGGGCTGGACGTATGGCAAGGTATGTTTTGAATGGCCTGTCTGGGTACAGTCACCTATATTAAGTTAAGTCTCCTACCAGAAAACCTGGATTTGGAAGTTGAACAGAGTATTTAATAGTGATCTATACATTACTGACAATAGATGAACATGTAAGCTGGCAGGAGACAGTGATATTAACTAGTGATTAGAAGGCAAATTCGGAATATAAATAAGGTACATATTTTAGCACTATAAGTAATTAACCATTTGAAAAAATATCTTAATTGAGAAACATACTAGCTATACCAAGATGGAAATCTACTGAAAATCATACCAATAGTGAGTAACCCCTCAATTAACTCTTTGGTTACTCTAGCGTTGGGGATCAAAGAGATACCAAGCAAAAAGTCCGTTGTTGAAATTTGCTTCTGTTGATAATGGAGACAGGGTTTTGGTGACTTTTGTAAACATTCAAATTCCTCAAAGCTCAGTTTTTTTTATTTAATTAGTTACAGTTAAAACTTATCATTATAATGATCCCTTATAATGTGGTATAACCTAACAGCTTGAAGAGAGTAAGGCGACCTGGTCAACATTATTTAAATGCATATGACAAGGCATTCCCTGCCCAATGGATGTCACCAAATGAAAAACAGTTAAAGTAGGCCAAGAATATTGTATTTAGAATATTATGTTAAATTCAACAATTATATTAAAATTGGTACCTTCCCCTAGTAATATAAAATTCAAATTCAGTTTTACTGGGGTAGTCCTCTATATGCACACCACAACTCTATTCTACCTCAGAAGAATCTTTTTCGTTCTCTTATCTTCTGCAATTTTTACTTAGGGACTTGATTTACCTTTCAGTAACTCTATCATACTGTCTGCTAAAATGTCATTGCTGTTGGAATTCTGAGCTTTACTAACCTTTTTAATGTTTCTGAGCTTTGGCAATTGAAAAAGGTTTTTGTATGTGAAATGTCGTAACTCTTAGTTGCCATCAGGATAGAAGCACTTGCCATTGAGTGAAAGAGCTTGTTTAATTAAGAGTCAGATAAGTATTCAAAGACTTATGTCGGTATCACAAAAAGAATGCTCTGCTTAATTATTCCAGTAGAATTTGGAAAACATTGCCAAGTGATTCTTTAAGGTTTTTGAATCAGAATGTGTACCATAGATCAGGTTGTGCTCTATTGAGCATATATTGCTCAGGCATTCAGCAGAAATGTTCATTGAGCTTACAGGCTTGCTTTCTTGTGTTTTGTACATTTATGCAGAACGCCTGAAATTGCTATTTTTTTTTTTCAGATTTGTTGGTTATAGAGGAGTACTTATAGTGTGCATTAGAAATGAATTATGGGAAAGTTCATTTATATAATGATGAGTAACTGTCATTGAGCAAAGATAAATGGTATTGTTTACAATGTCTTCATTATTGCAAAGAATTAACTGATTTTTTACTCTGATTCTGGTATCAGGAAAGTACTCTCTTCTGTTGTTTTGTTACAGATACGGGATGATAATAAAAGGCATCATCCTTGTCTTGTGGAATTCTCAAAATTGCCTGAGACAGAGAAGAATTATAATCTACAAATGTCAACTGAAACCCTCAAGTGAGCTTTAAATTTAAAAGAAAATAAAGTTTGGGGGTTTTTAATTTTTATTCAAGCACTTCATACTGTTGTAAGATATAAAAACATTAGAATATCTAATTCAAAGTGTGTTCTGCTAACTTTGCTAGGAGTTCCAGGAACACATTCAGAGCAATTTAGAAAAATCTTGTCTCTACAGAGATACAAAGAAAAAAACAACACCAAATCCTATTGGTTTTAATAAAGTGGCATAACTTTCAAACCACAGATTTGTACCTTTTTAGACTTTGAAGGTTTTATTTATTATTTTTGATAAGTTAAAATATTTGGGTTTTGAAATTCCATTATTTTGAATGACTTCCCTGGTTTTTAAATATCATTAGTTCTGTGTATTTATACTAAAACCAAAAGAAATTTATAAAACAGGTGAGCATTATAATGTTGTGTTTCACTACTGCTATTTTTTTATGTTGACAGAACCCTTTTGGCCCTTGGATGTCACATTGTTCATGCTCATCCAGCAGCTGAGGAAGATCTTGAAAAAGTCAAACTTCCTAAAAAGTACGTACCTTATGGTAACTATTATATATTATTTGTAACTACAGGGTATTAATTAAACGAAAATATTGTAAGGTCATTTTAAAAATACTTGATATGAACCCATACCCGAAATGGACTTACAGAGCACATGGCTGGTCCGTTACCTTATCTGTGATGATGGTTGATTCTGAATATTGCTGCATTACATCACCTTGTGGAATGATTCACAGAGACAAAAATAGTCACATACTTAAACCACATGCAATTATACCTGTGTTACATGATCTTAGAATAGATATTGCAAAGTTAAAAGCAACATTTCAGTGCTTTACTATCACATAGCAAAGAACAGTATATGTATATGATGGTAAACTGATCTACCTGAAAGAGGGTATGCCATTTTCCCATAACTCCTGTTTCGATTTGCACCTCTCCTTCCCTCCCTTCCAAGAAAAGGGTTGTTCAACATACACACATTTCCAGAGACATTATTAATGCATTTCTTTAAAGAAGAGAAAAAAATAGAAGATTACTGTTCTTATAATGTTACACATTTCTAGGAAATGTACATACATGGATTATTGCATAAAATACAGTTGGGTTTTTGCTTTAATTTTTATTTGGTAGCTAAACTATGGCAGTCAGAGCTAAAATAGTTGAATGATGTTTTGTATGTAGACATCTTTAAGTCATCAGTAGTAATCACCCCAAAAGTGGCGAAGGTTAATCACGGATTACATCTGTATTCTAGCCTTGTCTGTGAGGATTCTGTAGTCCTCCTGGGACAGATTAAAGCCCTGTCCTGCAACAAAACTTGAAGACAGAAACAATGATTTGGATACTGCCATTTCACGTCAGTTTTTCAACTCACAAGATGTCTTTTTTCCTGAAACAGCTTTATCCATGAGAAACAAAGTTAGGTTTTTAAAGAGAACAGTAAAATAAATAGTTTTATGATATGGGAGATGGTAATCTTGATCCAGTTGATGGCATAAATTAAAAAAAGGAAAAAAGAACCTTTCCCAAGGTTCATCCTGCAGGCAGTCTATTATAATACTGTTTTGATACTATTGTCTTCAATAACAGAACAAATAAATTTTAGCTTCTGACTCTTGTTAAAATATCTACTGCCTACATGAATCATCCTAACAAATGGAAATGATCTGATTTGAGCAAGAGGGAGTCTGCATATGTCTAAAACAGCAGAGCAGTCTTTATACTATGTGGAAAGGTTGGAGAGGGTGGTACCTACTACTAAAAAACTACTAAACTTATTATTGAAGAAGTGGGAAGAATGGTAGTTAAAATATGTTTTCTTCTGTTGGAAAAATGGTAATGCAATCTTTACAGACTAGTGTATGAAAGATACCATACTTAATAATGCATAAAAAATAATTTCATAAGAAGTCATCATGCAGGTCTTTAAAATAGAAATTACTTGAAAGTTTTAAATGACAAATATTTTAAAAAGTATAAAGAGTACTCATTTAATAACAATTTGGTTTTTTCATAGCAACTATTTAGGGGTGCACATACAGATCTGGGTCACATTTAATTAGATGACCAAATGCAATGCAGGATTTTTTCAAAGAAATGGGAGAGTAGGAGATTGAAAAGTGGAGAGAGAAAGTGAACCCCACCCTATGAATGCCACGTAGAAAACTTTAAATACCATTAGTGGGGTATCTTGACTCTCTGTTTTCCTTTGTTGACTTACAGTTACATGATGTCAAATGGATATAAACCTGCCCCTCTTGATCTTTCTGAAGTGAAGTTGTTACCTTCTCAAGAATTTCTAGTTGACAAACTAGCAGAAAATGCACATAATGTCTGGGCAAAAGACAGAATAAAGCAAGGATGGACCTATGGCATTCAGCAGGTAAGGACTTCTTTAGATGCATTTGGAGTAAGTAAAGAACGTGAGATTTTGTTTTCTGGAACATCAATTGGGAGTGTTAAATAAGAGGATAAATACTGAATGTCGTGTAATGTCTGGAAAAGTTAGAGGGGGTGGGGAGCAGGAAAAGAAGCCTTGCCATGCAAGTCTGAGTGGATTGTCAGACCTGCATGGCTGCAGCTGCAGGATGTATGAGAATATATTTCCATACTTCTCTTTCATTCTTGTCTTTAGGTTTTTAATATTAACAATTGGGCTTGCATTCAGAGAACTGTTCTTCATCAGTATTGTTTCTCTCCTGCAATCTTCACATTATTTCAGAATACACTCTGTCTCGTATAAAATCTTTGTGATGTTTAAACACAGTTTTCTTCTTGTTCTTTTTTTATAACCCCTTTTAGGATCTTAAGAACAAACGTAATCCTCGCCTAGTGCCATATGCATTATTAGATGAACGTACTAAAAAATCAAACAGAGATAGCCTTCGTGAAGCTGTGAGAACATTTGCGGGCTATGGTTATAGTATTGAGCCACCTGATCAAGAGATAGGTATGTACTTTCAATATGAATCATGGCCTTTTTTTCCCCTCACTGCTGGGAAAAAAACATAAAACACTGAAATAGATAGGGAAGACATAAGATATGAATTAATAGTACTGTATTTTTGCAGTGGACTTTAATGAAAGGTGCAAATATACTTTGTAAATTACTTGTATATTACTTAGATATATTCTTTTTAAAGATTGGTTGTAGTTAATGATATGATAATTCTAATTTCCATGATTTTTAGATTGGAGAAAATCTGGAGTGTGAGTGGACATACTGGTTTTCATTTGGAAATAATGAAAGAAATAAAATAATATGGGATTAATTTAAAAGAATTTTTTTACATGGTATGCAGATTAGGTTTAACTACTTCAAATCAAACTTGGTTCTTAAGAAGTAGTCAAAGAAGTGCACCAAGTTCAGTAATTTTTTTAATTGAAATGAGGAGCAGAAATTTGTTTAGAAGTTTTCTTCATATTTGCTATGCCACTGTAATTTTTTGACAAAAATACGAACCAAAACAAAACTTATTTGATAATTTTTTTAAAATGTTCTAAATGTATTGACTTGTGTAGGCAAGTGTTTTTGTTTTATTGTAGTACTGCATTATTGCATTGGATTGTATTGCATGTAGTAATCTTACACTTCTGAGGTTTCCTCTAGTCAGTTTTGTGTTTGGGGCTCTGCATTGAGTGATACTTTGAAATACTCTGATTCTAAATAGCGGATAATCGCTCATCCTGTATAGAATCAGAATGTGGGAGGCTCTGTATGCTGATTACTGTTCCTCCTTTTTTAACTTTTACTATGAAGGTTCTTAAACATGAAAGATAATGGCTGTTTTCAGAGATAGAAAATGCTGGGGACAGATGAAGAGCTAAACGGTGGCATTTATAGTTTCATCTAATTATAAAAGGTGGGGTTTTTTTCTCTGTTTATTTTTACAGCTGACCAAACAGTGGAAAAAGTCAGCATTGACAAGATACGATTTTTCAGAGTAGAACAGTCTTATGCAGTGAAGTCTGGAAAGTGGTACTTTGAATTTGAAGCTGTGACAGGTGGAGATATGCGTGTTGGCTGGGCCAGGCCAGGCTGTCGACCTGACATAGAATTGGGCGCTGATGACCAAGCATTTGTATTTGAAGGAAGCAAAGTCAGTACATCTTTATCTTTTTTTTGACCTATAAACCTACCGTATAGGTTTCCTCTGTATAGTCCAGATCAACTACTGTAATATTTTTGACTCATATAAAGAGATCTCTGAGCTCTGTTTCATGCTGCATAGTATCTGCATTTCGGTTCTGGTTGTTGAAATTATGCTAACAAAAATGTGTTGGTTTATATCTATCTTCCTAGGATATACCCAACTGAGTAAAGAAGTCTGTTATAAGCGTAAACAAAATACAGCATTCACTTCCTTTTTTTGTAAGTGGTGTTTTACAAAAATAAAGCAAAGATTCTTCAATGACTGGAAGAGAGAACCACAGTTCTGTTTTCCCTTTTCTGTCTTTTCTGCTTTCTGTGCATTCTTTCTTCCCAAACTTGACTCCTAAAGGACCAGAAGGATGATAATGACACTGCATGTGAGAAGTGGAATCCAATAAACAATGGTTATCATCCAGGTTCTAAATTGCTGTTTGCATATTACTGAAGTTAGGGTGCCTTAGTTTCTGTATGTGAAATAACTAAGATAATAATTAAATTAATTACCTGAAAGCCATGGTCAGTACTGTTTGCAAATTACTTTGGGATCCTGGAAGGTGAAATATTTGTTTGTTTTGCTTTATTTATTTTGTGTTTTATGTTTTAATTTTAGCATGGTGTTTATTTACTTGTTTTTTTGTTCAGGGCCAGCGTTGGCATCAAGGCAGTGGATTCTTTGGACGAAGCTGGCAACCAGGAGACGTGGTTGGTTGTATGATAAACTTGGATGACAAATCAATTATCTTTACTCTGAATGGAGAGTTGCTTATAACTAGTAAAGGTTCAGAACTTGCGTTTGCTGACTTTGGAATAGAAAGTGGTAATTTTCTTTTTATAATTACATGGTTATGAGAAGAAAAGAAAAAACAAAACCCAGACAAACTAGTCTGTCATAATGGCTTAGTGAGCTGAGAAATCGTGTTTCACTGATGTGAACCTTCAGGCTGTGCTACACATTAACTTCACAAAAATTTATTTTAAGACCGCTTATATGGCACAAATTGATTTTCTTTTTTTTCTTTAACCACAAGAAGATATTAATGGGATTTCAGTAATCAGAATGAGTAAATTTTCTTCAAGCCTTGTTAGGCTTACTCACAGGACTGAACTTCAGCGTTAAGAAGAAGTGGTAATAATCAGCACCTTGAAAAATTCCCAAAAGCTGAAAATGTAGTCTCTGATTATCTCACTGGAGCATACATGTATTATGTTCTTGTCTGTGAAGGACAAAATGAGTACTATGTGGTGAGAAGCTGCACCAAAAGAACAACTCTTTGCAACATAAATTGAGTCTGATTTGTAATTTTTTTTTCTCTGTCCTATTCATAGCTTTTCTGCATTTCTCCTTTTCCAGGGCTATTTTTCCTCTTCTGTTTTTGGCCTTTGCTTTTTTGAACAATATTATCTACATGACTGTATTGAAGGAGGCAGGGAGTATTTTCAAACTGTTTTCTTTTATTTTTTAGTTGACATTTTCTTTGGAAGCATATCTCCTCCAACCAGTAGTAGCTTCATGCCCATTAGTAATTGCCAAAAGACTTTGCAATTGCTTACTGTCCCTCTTTGGTCTGACCATTGATGCAGTTTTTCTAATGGTAGAGAGTGAGGGACTGTCTTAAGAGAGCTTTTCTGAAGGCTTAAAATTGAAGCGTAGGAGAGAAAATTTCTCCTTTAGAGGTTGAACTATTGGCTTTTGGCTGAAATTGCTCCAAGTCCTGTTTCTTGCGAGATGGAGAAATAATTCAACACCCTTTCATCCCTGTCTATTGGCTGCTACATGTATATGGAGACCAAAAAAGTTCGGTCATGAAAAATGCCAGCATTAAAGAAGTGTATATTTAACCATCATGAATGATGGAGGGATGAAGGTTGGAAACAAATTTCTAGCTACTGATGACAAACTAAATTTTAAACAGATGTACTGAGGTACCTGAACCTCATCTCAAAGTCCTTTTGAAACGTCAGTGCCCTCAGAGAGCATACTTAACATTTGCTAATAACTTTGATCTAGCCAACATTGTCTTCCGGTGTCCAATTCATTGTATAAAGGCATGTTTATTAGTCTAAAAATGATGAAGATAACTGATTCTCCTAATAAATGAATAACTGGTTTGATAAATCTTGGTTTTTTAAATCTGATTGTTCACAAAACTACCTCTTGACTTGACATTTTTTTGTTTGTTGTTCACACAAATCTACTAACTAATAACAATTGTTAAACTGGTTTAATGCTTAAATAAATGGGATAGTGTGTGTAATGTCGATTCATTGCCTACGTCCTCAGGGTTTTTGGTAGCAATTATATTGAACTTAAGCCACCTTCAATATTAATGTTTTAAATGCTTGCTATGTCATCACTTCATGTGCATTACTTGTAGGAGCTAAAGTTTAGTTCACATTAGATGGATCCAAAATAGAATGCTTGTATTCTCCAAATAAATTACTGTTGGCTTTTTCGTTGTTGTTGTATCGTTTTCTTAGGTTTTGTTCCAATTTGTGCACTGGGTCTATCTCAGATTGGTCGTATGAACCTTGGAATGGATGCCAGTACATTCAAGTATTATACAATGTGTGGCCTTCAAGAAGGTTTTGAACCTTTTGCTGTGAACATGAACCGAGATGTTGCTATGTGGTTTAGTAAACGCTTACCAACATTTGTCAATGTGCCAAAAAATCATCCTCACATTGAGGTAACATTACATGTTGGGGAGACACCTGTTTATCAACTGTTTGTTTAGCAAGCTGAGACTTTAAACCCTTACTAATACTTACTGTCATCAGATAGTTTGTCATATAAATCTATTAAGTCACTCTTAGATAATTCCAGATGATCTTGTCTGTCTCCAACTTCATTTATGGTAGTATTACCATTCATATGGGTATACCTATCTGTTCTATTCTATGTCTTACTAATTTATGTTGTTGTGATTAGCTTCTTGAAACATGTCAGTTGTGATGTCTTAGAACCATTTTTTATTTTCTACCTTACATTTGCTTCCATTTTCTTAAACCTTCTCTACTATACATTCTTCTTAAATATCTAAAAATTGTCAGCTGAATTCAGCATCACTTAAGCTAATGGAAGTGTGAGCTAAACAAAGACTGATTTAGTCCACTTCACTAATCTGAGGGACATTTAAGTGTACCTGTCGTGTCGTTGAGTGTTATCTGTTTCGTTCATTCTTATGATGCACCAGTGATAGGAATTCCACAAATCCTTAACTGATCTAGTCTAGAGCAGAATAATATGTCCTATGTTTTGTATAAAATATTCCATATTAATATATTCCACAATTTCCTGATCAGCTTTTTTACTATAATCCCTAGGCCATTTAGTTTAATTTAAGTGTTTAGCCAATTATTCCCTAATACTTGTCTTTGAACATGACCTTCTTAAACAAAATACACTTCACTGAATTCCAACTAAATGATCTCAGCATTTTTTTCAGTTTATCAGGATCATTTCAACTGTATTCCTGTCTTCAAAAGTTTTTGAAATGTTCCTGTCACTGAGTTTAAATGCATACTCACTTTTTCAGCACAAGGAAAAATAATAATATCAGACTCGGACTTCATAATGATCATCTGAAGGATTCTAATTGATATTTCCTTGTGTTGTGGTAGAAAACTACCGATTCTTGTGAAGCAATTTTTCAATGACTTGTGCACTCAAAGTGAATTAATTTAATAAAATCTATACTTTTGTTTTTTTAAATGCTGTATGGACCAATTTGAAAATATTTACTGTAGTCAGGATATACTGAATCTGTTGCTTCCCTTGCTCTTCAGGCTAGATTCCCTGTAAGAGAAGAAAGTTGCATAGTTTTGAAATTAATTCATTTTGAATAATTTAAGTTGACTCTTCAAGTTATCTCATCCTCTAGTTGCTTAATGAAAGTTTTCAGCATTTTTCTTGGAATAGTATTATTTTAAAATTATTTCTATTATTTTTAGATATGGAGAATTGATGGAACCATTGAGAATCCACCTCGGCTAAAAGTTACTCACAAAACATTTGGCACACAGAACAGCAATTCAGACATGATATATTGTCGTTTGAGTATGCCCATTGAGTTCCGCTCATCATTCAACTTTGGCATGGGTGTGGAAAATGCTTCATCTGATGTTTTCCAAAAACGGTTAGGCTTGCTTTTAGTTATCCTATTTCATGCTTTCAATGTAAATGTAATATGTTCTATTATTCTTTATGACTGTACACTCATGATTTTATACTTGTTTTTGCACTAAGCACACACTATCATGGGATGCATGTTAATGAGGTTTTTTTGTTCTCAATGGTTTTAATAAATATATAATACAATTTGCTGCAGAATGCTATATCCAGACAAGAGAGAATCGTTTCTGAAGAGGTGCATCACAAGGTTTATAATTATTCATTGCTAAGCAGCTGCCATCCTTTCAAAATCATTGGGATTTGCAAAGCTCTTCAGCCAGGCTGGAAACCACCTCAGAATCTTTTGTCCACCCAATTAATGCTCATCTACATTATTGTTCAATAGCTCATTGTTATTGGAAAAATGACTAATCCATGCAAAGAAAAAAAGATTGTGAGACAGATTTTTAAAGAGACCAGGTGCTGCTGAGTTCAGCACCTTCCAGCATTGCCTTCACCTTTAGTTAATTGCTGTAAATCTATCTCTTCTCCCCTCTCCACCTTAACTGCAATCAATTATTTTGGATATATTTGTATCCTGTACAGTCTTTGCATACTTAATTTGCATACTCAGTACCCAGCAAACATGAGTTAGCTTGTAAGTACACTTAGTTTAATAATGAGTACTTTTTTTTACTACTTTTTTTTTTTTAAACTAATTTACTGATGTTCCTTTATCTTTAGAAAGCACAGCCAAGAAATTGCTGCTCCTTCTACTATAGTAAGTAAATACGTTGAGATGCTTAGTTCTTCTTACTTTATGAAGTAAATTTAGTCGTGGCAGCATGTTGATTAGAAATTGATCTGTTGAAAGAAGCCTTTTTAATCATTTGCTATGATATAACACTGTGAATAAATAATAATGCCCAGAGTTGTATGATTAGAGGCATAAACCTCACTATCTTAAACAGTAGTCTGTTTTTTTTAAATTTAGGAGCATTTTAAATGACTTATTAAGAGAATGTGAATTACTGTTATTAAAGTTTGATATATAGGAGATTTTTTTAATCACTATTTGAGTATTTCTTCATAAAATAATTTTGATTTCTGTTACTAATATGTTCTTTTCCTCTTTTCAGTATTTTTATTCACTACGGATATTTGCTGGCCAAGACCCATCCTCTGTCTGGGTTGGCTGGGTAACACCAGACTATCATTTTTACAGTGAGAATTTTGACCTAAATAAAAATTGTACAGTGACAGTTACTTTAGGTGATGAGAGAGGCAGGGTTCATGAAAGGTATGGATTTATTTATCACTTATTAAAGATTGTATTTTAATACTGTTGTTCAACAGTGAATTATTCAAAAGCCTGATGATATTTTAAACGTTAATTTAAACTAATAAGAAAATTGATTATGGAGTTAGGAGTGTTCTGTGCTCATTTATATATGAATGTGTTTTACATAGACTTGTTAAAGTGAGTATATTTATCATTAATGTTCTGTTTGAAAGAATGTTTTGTGGTGCTTCTTTCTTTTAACATCCATATTTGGTCACTGTGGATGAACCTGTTATTTGTTTTAATGTGTCTTACATAAGCACACAGAAGTATGTGAAATTGTTTCATAATTATAAAAAAGGAAAAAAAAAAGGTCCATTTAGTCTAATCCCTTACCCATGATGCTTACATTATTAAAAAAAAGGGGGGTTGTTAATGAGAAAACAAAACTAATAGCACAAGCACCTTTGACGATCTCTATTACTCCATTGAAAAGTACATCTTCACTGAATACTTGGTCAAGTTTAAAGTGACCTATGATTTGTTTTCTTTGTTCTTGCTGTTCTTTCAGTGTGAAGCGCAGCAATTGCTATATGGTTTGGGGAGGAGATGTAATTGCGAATTCCCAGAGATCAGGTCGCAGTAATGTTGATTTAGAAATTGGATGCTTTGTTGACCTGGCTACTGGAATGTTGTCATTCACAGCCAATGGAAAAGAGCTTGGCACTTGTTATCAGGTATTACCAGATTTTCAGGAAGCTATCTAATAAGCTGGTCATTTCGATGCTATTATAAAATTGTTTTTTCTTGTTCAGAAATCTAACTGAACACTATTCGTGTGACAATAACATGTTTTCCTATATTATTCTGTTTTATCCCTCTTTTTTTCTCTCTCTTTTGTAAGGCTACATTTTTCCAACTTCTTACAGTTGTTTCAAATGTTGAGGAAGGACTATGGGTAGATATGTTCAGAAAAATATTTTTTTACCTCTCAATTCTTGTGGTTCATAATCTTGATTTATAATGTCAACTATTATTTAAAATATTTTTTGTCAACTAAATCTGTTATACAATATAGGGGAAATAATTATTTAAGTTAGCATAAGGTCAAAATTAGACTTTAGATATAGTAATTTTTGGTGTGGATTGAGAAAAGAAATTTAGTTTATTATTACCAGGTTTTGTGTCTTCTGCAGATAGCTATGATTTGGACATCTTGTGATTTGTTAAGTTTCAAAACCCAGAATTCAAATATGCGTTAATGTGCAAAGCCAAAATAAATGGGGTGGGCCCTAAATGCTATTAATGTTCTCAAAACGTGGAGTCATTATGCGAATGGATCAGTAGTTAACAGAAGTTTTCAGCACCAGATTGATGAGATTTGCTCTTAGTAAAATCAGTTGTCCATAGCGGAGCATCTACTGTGCAAGAGATTATCCGGTGTTAGGACCAATGCATCGCTTTCTTCTATGTCAACAAAACCTCCACAAATCTGTAATACAAATGAAACTTAAATGTTACTCAACTACATTTAGTGGAACTTTGTATACTGACTCCATTGAAAATGAATGTGGCAGAGTTGCACACAGACTGTAAGTGGGGGTGGAGATGATCTAGCAGCTGTGATTTTGGTATATTTTATAAGAGTAGTCAGAGACTTCAGTGCCATGCTGGGAGGATATTAAATGTCGACATCCTGGGAAAAGAAAACAGGAGATGAAAGTGATTAAGCCCCATGCTTTGCTGTTTTTTTAGCTAGATTAAAAATTAATATGACAGCTTCTGAACAAAGCCATGGAAGTTTTAGTGTAAAAAGCACTTTCAGGTTTTTCCTCTTATGACTTGCAATTAATGTAACCACGTTCTTTGTACTAAATTTAAAGTCATCTCAGAAAATAAAATTATTTCTCTTCTGTTTCCTCTCTTTTCCACGGAAAAATACCTGGAGTTGCTTTTGGAAATGTTTTTCAATAAACCTGTTAGCACCTGGTCTGTTGAAAAATGAGAACACCCAGCACTTCCTGTAAAGATACAATGGTATATTCCAACAGGCGTATTACGTCTGAGGGTGAAATATTTCTCAACTTTTGCTTATTTCAAGTAATTTAAATCTTTTCTCTATTTTTGAAAGTAGTGAAAATAGTCTTATGTAGTTTTCATTTTCATTTCTTGAATATTTTTACCGTAAAATAAAATCTTTAAAATACTTCAGTAAATCTAATCTCTCACCCATATTGCAGCAAATGACTGATATTTGGCCAGACTGATCCTGGGCTAGAGGCTGCAGGATAATTATTTTAACCTTGTAACTGTTTGCACTTTTCATTTTGATTAACTGAAGTAGAGGGACAATATTTGTATGCTGTTTTCATTTTAAAAGACCTACAGGTCAATATATTGAGGAGAAGAAATGCATTTTGCTGTAGTTCTTGATCTAACTATTGAATGCCATGGTGATATTCAGAAAATAACCCACTGTCTATAATAGAAAAGTAAATGAAAGATAGTGTATACATATATATTTGAGATTTCGTCATTAATTGTCAGGCCAATGTTAAGGTATTCGTAACAGAAAGGACATCTTAAATATTAGTTTACATGACGTTTTATTTTATTCTGAGTTAGTAATGGTTTTCTGACCTTCAAACAAGGTTAGAAATTATAAATTCAATTATTATTACTAGGAAATACCTATCTTTGGTCAGAGGCTGAGAGTTATATTGTCTCAGTTACTTTCAGGCTTTAATGAAATAAAAGACACATTTTATTAGTAGTGTATTTCAGTCCAGGATACCTTTTGTTTCTGGATTTGGGTTTATGGTTTTTTTCCTTATCAAAATGATTAGAATGTACATACCTGGCCCTACTTTATTTTGTCTATCCCAATAGTCATAGTTCTGCAGAAACTTTATTCTGCACGCATGGTATTATTTTACATTTTGTTTAAGTTATATTGTGTTTTGGAGATGTTTTCTTGTCTAAAAGAATATGGATTTTTTTTTTTTTTGTGACTCTCAGTTTATTGTTTTGCAATTTTTGATAGTTTGCTATCCTCAAAGTTAGGAGTTTACTCCTTCACAGCACGAGTATTGTAATTGTACTTAGCATGTATAATGTATATGCATAGTACACAAAATACACAATGATGTGATTAAAGTATTTAATTGAACTCCTGAAACGTTGAATTGATTGTATCGAGCATACCTTTTTTCAGCCACCCTGAGCACTGAAGTCTTTTTAATAATATACTGCTCTATAAGCATCTTTTTAATTCTTTTTTTCATGGCAGTAGGGGTGGGTGATCTTGTAGAGAATTCTTCAGAATAAACTAGTATTACTGACATGTACTTTGAGTCCAGCTGTAATGGGGAAATGAGGATAATGTAGCTGTCAAAAAAATCCCAAACCCAAACAGACACTTTAAAACTTCAGCACTGTGATTCAGTGTGATTCACTGTGATTTCATAAGACTGCAGACAAATGCTAAGCCTGGAAATAAAGAGATCTTTGAGATCTTTACAAAAATTACATTCTTCTACTTTTGGAGTATGGATCAGAAATTCACTGATCTTAATAGGAGATAAAGATTTGCACTATCCCAATCAAATGATGCGCTCTCACCCTCTTCTTATCCCCCTCTGGCTACCTTTGTCTTAGAAATTTAGAAATTTGTTTTTGAGCTTTTTTGGGAGTGATTATTTTGTCCAGCATAAAATGTGAAAGAACTCTGAAATATGTGTGGTGGTCTAAAAAGCTGTATTCTACCCTGTGTTGGGGGTGCATTTCCTGGAGCAAGAGCCAAAGTATGTAGCTGTAAAGTGGCTGGATTTTTAAGGAGCTGCTCTAGAATGAGGTGTTGGATCTGGATATGTTTGAGAAGAATAAACACATGGTATTACCAAAGTTCTTGTTATGGGTGTTGAGAGCACATAAGGCAGCAGACACACCTGCCTGAAAGTTAGGTGGGCCTATAAAGATAACTCAGCAAATGCTTTACTATATTAGAGGTAAACTACAGGTAGACACTAATCAACACTTCAATACAGTGTCTGCAGTTATTTGATAATGAAGTATAAGCTATATAGTATTTATTTTATGTTGTATCATATTGTGGGAGGAGATTCTTGTTGCTTTTTTAATTTTTAAAATTTTTTAATCTCATTTCTCTTCTAGGTTGAACCAAACACAAAGCTTTTTCCAGCAACTTTTGTACAGCCTACGAGCACTAACTTGATTCAGTTTGAACTTGGTAAATTAAAGGTACAAAATATTCTCTATAAAGGTGCTTTTTAAAATCTGTTTATTTCCACAGACATTTCTGCTCAGTTGAATTTGTTTGGGAAGATTGAATCAATGGCGTGACTTTTTATTTGACTTCTACATTTACCTCTGTAAATGTAATTATTATATGAAGTTAATTGTTCAACAACTTCAGTTTATTTTGACAAATAGTTTAGATTTATTTGGAGAGAACACCTTTAATGCTGGTTTTTTTAAATGGATTTTGTTTATTGCAATAGTATATGTTTCTATTAGTACTTTGCTATCAATAAATGATACTTCCTTTTGGTATTATAGGTTTAGTCATAATTAGATGTTACAAAAATAATTTTAATACACTTGTTTGTTTCAGAATACCATGCCTTTATCAGCCGCAATTTTTAAAAGTGAAGAAAGAAATCCTGTTCCTCAGTGTCCCCCTCGCCTTGATGTGCAAACAATTACACCTGTTTTATGGAGCAGGATGCCAAACAGCTTTCTGAAAGTAGAAACTGAGCGTGTCAGTGAACGTCATGGCTGGGTTGTGCAGTGTTTGGAACCTCTGCAGATGATGGCACTTCATATCCCAGAAGAAAACAGGTACATTTGGAAAGAACGGCAGTGACTTAATGTGGACAAAATGTATTGAAAGCTGATACCTGGGTATTGGTTAAACCTGCTTTGGAGAATATTTACACTGGAGTTGTTTAAAATTTCTGATCTTATCTGCTTTAATATCATATTCGTGAAGTTTAAGTAGATTCAAGAATTGAATAATTTTAATGCCATGTGATGACATTTGCATACATAAGAGAAAACATAACTATTTTGATTTTATTTAAATTATAAAATAATTTATAAATTGCTAGGTCTTTAAACATAGAGATTTTCACAGCTTGAAAAAAACAAATATAAAGAACACGCAAGTACTATTTTGCTGATTTTTTTTCTGTAATAAAAACATGTAATCTGTTCCTGTTTCATCTGCTGTGAATTTACATGAATTAAGTTTTTGTGTTCTTACTGACAAGATCCTGACTTTCTTAGATTTTCATTACGTTTTATCTTCAGAGTGAGGATAATAAAAATGTATCCAAATACCAAATATCGTAACCAGTGACAAATCAAACTATTAAGCAAAAGCTGTACTTTTATCAGTTATTTTGCAGCTTCTTTTAATAATTCAATAACCAATTTTATTTATTGTTAATAAAACTGAATTCAAGAAAAGAGTAAAAATTACTGTGTTTTGTGGAAAAAATGCAACAGTAATCCTCAATAAAGTATAAAGGCACTGTTTAGTGACAGTATTACCACAGAGTTTCAGCATTCCAAATGCATTTCTTTTAAAAACAAGCAAAAAATTTAAAAACAAAAAAAATTTACCATAGCTTCCAAAGAAGCTTTTCTATTTTACGTTTTTCCTTTTTTTTCCCTATGGAGTACTAATTGTAAATAATCTCATCAAATTATTACCACCATTTACTGTGGTTTAATGATCCACATGTTATCAGATTAGTCAGTATCAACCTTAATATTAATGGTTTAAAGTGAAACTGACCAAAATGTGCAGAGATTATAAAACTTTTCTTTTACAAAATTAGTGTTCATGAAATTGACTGGTGTTCTGTTTATTTCATAACAGATGCGTTGATATTTTGGAACTATGTGAACAAGAAGATTTGATGAAGTTTCACTACCACACTTTAAAACTCTATAGCTCAGTTAGTGCTTTAGGAAACACTAGAGTTGCTTATGCACTTTGTAGCCATGTGGACATATCTCAGCTATTTTATACGATAGATAATCAATATTTACCTGGACTCCTACGTTCTGGATTCTACGACTTGCTCATTAGTATCCATTTGGAGCACGCCAAGCAAGCCAAGCTCATAATGAACAATGAATTTATCATTCCAGTTACAGATGAAACTCGAACTATTAAATTATATCCTGATGAAACAAAGAAGCATGGTTTACCTGGAGTAGGGCTTAGCACTTGTCTGAAACCAGGCTTTAATTTTTCTACTCCATGCTTTATTGTGACCAGTGAGGAATGTCAAACATCCAGCCCAGAGATACCCCTTGATACACTTAAATCCAAAGCCATAAGTATGCTAACAGAGGCAGTACAGTGTAGTGGTACTCATATACGAGACCCTGTTGGAGGACAGGTTGCATTCCAGTTCGTTCCTGTTCTTAAACTGATAGCAACATTGCTCGTAATGGGGGTTTTTGATGATGATGATGTGAAGCAGGTGTTACTCCTCATTGATCCCAATGTGTTTGGAGATCACAAGGAAGAAACAGAAGAGGGGACAGAGAAGGAGGAAGTTACACAAGTTGAAGACAAAGCTGTAGAAGCTGGGGAGAAAGCAATAAAAGAAACAAAAGCTCCTGCAAAGGGCTTATTGCAGACAAGATTACCAGAATCTGTTAAGCTTCAGGTGATCATTTAATATAAATCTATTACATATGTTCTACTATTGATGAAAGAGAGGTAGTGCTTTTTGTCTGTTCTCTAGTTTGTAAGATTTAAAATCCTGAAGATCTTTATTCCACTTTGCCTTATAACCTCACATTAATAACCAAATTTAATGATGATGCAGTTTTTTCTACATGTATCTACACTCAAAATAGATATGCAAATACTTATTTCATAGGTGTATTTTAAAAGAAGGAGGGTTGGACCAGGTGTCTTTAAAGGACCCTTCCAACCCAAACTATTCTATGATTCTATGATTTCTACATGTTTTGAGTGCATGGAGTGAAAGATTGTGAATGCAACATAGTATTATCGATCAGATAATAAAACTGTATAAATTTGTCACCTTTAGAGTGTTAAAAGAAAAACAGGGGAAAAAAGTCTCTCATTTTTACAGCCTGTTGCAGTGTATAGTATCCACTGCAGTTCTTCCCCAATTAGAATTTGTTAAACTGTTGAACTTAAGTCTGGTTTTTCTATCCTAGATGTGTCATTTACTCAATTATTTCTGTGACTGTGAGCTACAACATAGAGTGGAAGCAATTGTATCATTTGCAGACCGATATGTATCAAAATTGCAATACAATCAGAAATACAGGTATAATGAACTCATGCAAGCCTTGAATATGTCTGCTGCTTTGACTGCCAAGAAGACTAAAGAATTTCGGTCTCCTCCTCAAGAACAGGTAATATTAAACAAATGGCTGAATCTAAAGATAAAAGAAATAATTTGTGATGGTAAAATAGACTTCTGACTTCTAAACTACCATTGGAACTGCTAGAGAACCAAAATTGAATTTGAAATAAAATTTATTAAGATGCCACAAAATACTGCATGTCAGAACGCTTATACCTGTACTTCAGAATTCAGGCTCTAAACCAGAGTTAACTTAGCATTTCTCAACAGTACAGAAAAATTGAACATTACTGCTCAATGCTGAGGAGCTGAGATTCATCCAGTTCTGCAAGCTGATGATAATTTGATAATTTAAGTTGTTAAAAGTTAGCATGAAGTTAGTGTTGTGCTGACATCTGTATGTTGGAAATAATCTTGTCTACCTCCAGGAAATAGCTTTATTATTAAGTGTAACTTATTTTGATGTTAATTGTAATTAAAGCCTATGAAGTACCATTGCTTTAGCATTTCCTTTAAGCTGTATTAGAAATCTATGTTTTATGTTAATTTGATTATAAATTTGATTATAAACAGGTAAAGTATGGCTATACATTAGAATACGTCTTAGGTTATCTCAATGTTTTAACTGTGTTTTAATTCCCTTAAAGATTAATATGTTGCTGAATTTTCAACTGGGAGAGGATTGTCCCTGTCCAGAGGAGATTCGGGATGAGTTATATGAATTTCATGATGATCTTCTAATTCACTGCGGTGAGTGGCAAGGTTTTGTTACATTTTTTGTTTGTGTTTTTGACACTTTACATGAAAGAAGAGCAGATCAGTTAAAAAAAATACTAGTATGAGGTTTTTTTGTTAGATGTATTACTGTGTACATGGTGACTTCCCTGACAGACTTTGGTGCATACTACAAAAATATGGGAAACCTATGCATGGTTTTAAGTTTCATTGTTGTATATCTATTAAATATTATCTGGTATTATTCTGTTTATATATCAATTTTAGACTTAATTAGAAAAAATAAAAATGATCCAAACAAGAAGGTTGGATGACCTTAAAAGATTTATATAGGCATGTATATGTGTGCAAACAGATAAAAGGTATTGAAAGAACATTATTGCTGTGAAGTTGAGCAGTAGAAAATTTAATAAAAAACACTAGATGAGGGGTGGTGCTGCTGCTTTAGTTTAGTGGGGTATACATAACTGTGATGGTCAATCGTTACAAAACACTACTGCACTGCAGATTACAGCTTGAGTTGCCCCAGTCATTGAATCTGAATTTCCTTAGGGTATCCTTAAGGGTGAGCTATATCAGATACCCTGTGCAATTTATGTGAGTTAAGGAATCACATTTTATATGTGATGCCAAAAATCTTCTGTTAGTCCATTGAGATCATAGTCTAATCAAGACAATCATGGAATTATTAGTCTATTTACACTGATACTAACATTTATAGTCTGAGTCATTCAGTTTTTACTGCTCATTCCCAATAATTATGCAGTTGAAACTGATATACACAAGCTTTTTCATATCTACCTACTTGGTAGATATATTGGTAGTCACTTTTCCAGTGCATTTCTTGGTCCTATGGTTGATGGCACCCATCTTGTTCAAGAAGAACAGGACAGGGTCATTGCAGGAATTGACAGCATCTCAAGTTCTTCCCCAGGAAGAGCATGGTAATCTTAACAGTTTCTTCCTCCTCCTCCTGTTTGCTTGAGGTCACCTTTAAATGTTTACTAATACAGTCTGCTAGTTCTTTCTTCACTGGTTATCCCTAAAACCAGCTTTACCCAGTTCATGGAATTGCATTCTTTTAGTGACCTGTAGTTAACAGTTTGTGATGTCTGTTTGTAGCCATGGTGCCTCCCATACCATTCTGTGCTTGTATTGTGAAAGCTTCTGCTATCATCTTGTGCTGCTATTTCCGAGTACCTGATTAGAACCTCCAGCAACCATCAAGCTGTGATTTCTCGATAAGCCAATTACCATTTTTCAATCACCTCAGCCTTAGCCTCAGCCAAAGATGAGTAGGTCAGTGGGTATCTAGGTTGTATTTCATCAGCTTATTTCTGAAGATATTGTATAAGACAGTATTAGAAGACCTTAAAATCAAGATTTGTATCTGTAAGGTTAACTACATTATAGGTGGAAATATAGTTGGTTTAATGTAATTTGGTTTTGACAATCCTGTGTTGATTGTTATTCATCCTTGCTTCTAAGTGCTTACCAAAAACTGCTTTTTTCATTCCGGCATTTTTGTTCCAAGCGTTGAAGTGAATAATTAATATTATAGTTACTCCTTTTTTCTACCATTTTTATTAAGATAGATACCATCATCTCTATTGTTCAGTCACTTAGTACTTGATCTGACCTATTTGGCATCAGAGAGTTCTCTGAGACTCCAGGATGATTATGGAAGACTCACAACTTACTTGGAAATGTCTTAACTCTGCAATATATTTATTTTACCTTGAAATCTTGTTGCTGGTATTGTTGAGTTAGCTTAGCTCCTGATCACTCTTCATCTTTTCATGAGGTGAAACCCTACTGATTGTAGGTTTTTTTTCTTTTTAGGGGTGTACTTTTATTATTGTTGTTGTGGTTTAACCTGGCAGGCAGCCAAACACTGCGCAGCCGTTCACTCGCTCCCTGTCCCTGCCCCCAGTGGGATGGGGGAGAGAATCAAGGAAAAAAAAAAAAATTTGTGGATTGAGGTAAAGGCAATTTAATAGAACACAAAAGGAAGGGAAAATAATAATAATAATAACAACAATAATAATAATAATAGAATGTACAAAATGAGTGATGCACAATGTAGTTGCTCACCACCCGCCGACCGATGCCTAGCCCATCCCCAGGCAGCAATCCTCCTCCCCAACCAACCCCCAGTTTATGTACTGAGCATGTTGTCATATGGTATGGAGTACCCCGTTGGCCAGTTGGGTCAGCTGTCCTGGCTATGCTTCCTCCCAGGTTCTTGTGCGCTGGCAGAGCGTGGGAAGCTGAAATGTCCTTGACTAGTGTAAACTTTACTTAGCAATAAATAAAACATCAGTGTGTTATCAACATTCTTCTTGTACTAAATCCAAACCACAACACTATTGCAGCTACTAGGAAGAAAATTAACTCTATCCCAGCTGAAACCGGGACATTGTTTACTACATTATAAATGTGTATGTTGAATGAGAGAGAGAATTGAAGATAGAGGAAGCACAGTCTCATGATTAAAGTAATTTATTGATTCTCTGGATACTAAACAAAACCATATTCATTACTTTGTACAGATTTATCATAGGTGGTCACTGCGGATAAATGCTCCTCATTATCTTTCAGGACTTAGTCCTGAAAATCGGTGCTAAGCAATCACAGCTGCAGATAAAATGAATAGTAGTTGTGCTTGGAATATTTAATCAGCTTTTTAATACTAAGTATACTATGCAGTCTAAGTGGAAAAATATGTATGCAATCAAGTAATTAAAAGCTGCTTCATAATGAATATATGCAAATAGTCTGAATTGAACTTACTCAGGCAGTCTTAATCCTAGCATGTTGTAACTGAGAGTGGTTAATTTTGCCAGCAAAATCGTAGTCCTCTATCGTAATTTTTGTGTGTAATGTCTTGGTTATAAACAAACCAAACAAATTTACAACAGATTTTATTGCATAATATCAAATTGACACTTATCTGGGTTGGAACCATCTGCTCCAGTGCATCAACCTCTGCCACTTGAATTAAGTGATTAGCCAGTAGCAACATGAGATGGTCAGCTTCTGAATGGATTGCAACTCTTAAGAGGATGCAGAATGAATAATGAATGATACGGAGCAGTGAATGAGACCCTGTCTGGAGCAGACCTGTCACAGACCCTATCTCCTCCAGTCCAACACTGTCTTAACTCATGATCCCAGTGCATTTCTTCTAGTCCGTCCATTTCAGCTTCTCAAGAGTTCTCCTCCCAGTGTCTCTCTCTTGCTTCCAGGGCCTAGCTTTTTTTTCAATGCCAGAGAGTTTCTTGCTTCCTTTAACATCCTTGTCTGCTTTCTCTTTCCTCTCCTTATTGGCTACATTTCCTGTTCTTACTTTTTCCAGACTCTGTAGCCTTACTTCATTCTTAGTTTTTCATTTTGCCCAGCCAGTCTCACTTTTCCCATTCCTTGAATTCCATATGTAGTCTCCAATTTCAGTTTCTAGATCTCTCATTCTCTCCCACTGCCACTGAATTTTTTCTTACTAGTCACTTAAGTCACTCCTAGTCACAACTTTAACTCCTTCCCCTTGGTAGCTGCCAGCAGCAAAGTTTTTCCAACCTGATACCGCATTTCAGTTCTTTTTTCCTTTCTTAGTTTCTTTTTTTAATACCAGTTTTAGCCTCTGCAGTTTATTGTTCTCCCTCTGCTCCAGCTTGTATATCTTTAGTATTCTGTCTGGAAATCTTTTCCTTTTCTCAATTTCACTTTGACCAGCAGCCAAACAGCAAAAGCTTACATTTCAGCTTGGCACAATCAGCTTTGGTCTGAAGGGAACCTGCTTACATGTTCTGTGCTTCTGCGCATTACACGTGCCATCTGATCATCACTAAGAGGTGTGAGAGATTTGAAAATGCTTTGAATGGTTGTGAAGCAATGTAGTGAACTGAACTGTATTAAACTACCTTGTAAAATGACATCCCATCTCATCATATACATTTTCATGAAAAACACGTATCACTGGTATGATCTCTGAACATCTGTCTTCTTACAGTTTTAAATTCAGTTAATATGTTTGTTTATGACTGCTAAATATTTCGACTGAAAAATATGTTGTGAGATACAGCCATACATTTCTTTCTTTAGCTTACATCCTGCAATATGAAACAAAGGGTCAGATATGTAATCGAATGTGACTTTGAGGCAAAATTAATTGCCATAGTAGAATCTTCAAAAAATACCATCTCTTTGGTCATAATACTGAAAAAATAATACTATAAATCTGGATATAAGAAGTATGGGTACCGAAATAAACATAATTTGAGGGGTGCTACTGTAACTAACATGTTAAAGCTGCTGGCCTTCCTACATTTTTTTTTTCCCCTGTATGAAATTTGCTGGTTAAAAAAAGTTCCTGTAGATGTTTTTGGTATTGTTTAAATACTGAAGGAGTTAATCTTCAAAGGTTAAGTTTTGTTTCTAACCAGTTTTATTATCTGCTAAGGTATTCCACTAGAAGAGGAGGAAGAGGAAGAGGAAGATTCTTCCCTGACTGGCAAACTCCGTTCATTAATGTACAAAATCAAAGGTCCACCAAAAGCAGAGAAAGTAGAACCTAAGGAGGAAGAAGAGAAATCTCCTAGTAAGTTTTCTTTCACATAAATACTTCCATGATGCAAGTGTTAGAGGTGTACACAGTCAACAAGAGTGTGTTTTCTAATAAAACTTTATAACGGACTGAAGAAGGAGACTACCTGTTTAAGTTCCTCCGCCTCTTAGAACAATTATCCTACATACTGAACATCTTAGATGCATTGTTAAACAAGAAGTTAAAATGGGTGGAAGATTTTGGATCCAGATCATTAATTCTGGGGTTGAAAATTTGCATGTTCTTTACAAACAAATGTAAAAAGTTAATTATGGCACAATAATCTAGACTCAAGCATTCCAAACTTGAGAAATTTCTATTTATGTGGTTTTTTTTAAATGCAAAAACTTTCTTCTTTACTGCTTAACTCTATTTCATCTTTCTTTGCTGCATGAGAAGCTGTATGCATCTCAGTACCAAGATATATGTGACAAAATGGTTTTACAGTTCTTGGTTTTTGTAGAAAAAGGGATGGCTTCCACTTACTTCACTTGATGATGGTGAATGTATACATTCATTAAAAACTAATTGTTCTGATTTATCTCAAGCATCACATACATGCACATATATATCTCTCTCTCCATACCATATCCTTTCTGACCATATCCTTTCTGAATTTAAAGAAATTTTCAATCTATTTGACTAATTAAACAGAAGGAACATCTTTATTTTCACAAGTACAAATTCTGTATTCATAAATGCTTGAGTTAACAGAATTTTCCAGAATTTAGTACTGCTATTTTTTATTCTGCTCTTTGCTTCTGTAGATCTTTAACATGTATCTCTAAAATCAGAGGGCAGAGAAAAATACTGTCTGGATATCATCAGTTTGCCTGAAAACTTTTCTCTATAGTTTATAAATCTCATTTACACTGCCCTTAACGGTGAGCTTTCATGTTGCCTAAATATACATTAGAAGAACAGATACCATTTAGCAGAAATGTTTTTAATGTTGCTTTCTGCAGCAGAATATTGTAGAGGAGGAGGACTGAGATATCCCTGTGTGTTTGCTGAGTAATATTAAGCTATTAACATTTCTTAAAAATAGAAATATTTAACTCAAGTTAAATATTTCAAGTGGAAAGTCTGTGTATATGTTTTGCAACTAATAAGAGAGACAATTTAATCCACAGACCTAGGAACAATATATATGGGAGAATGTATATTACATCACTGAAAACAGTCCTTCCACCTAGCACAGCTGAATAAGCACAACAGAGAACTGAGAGTAACTGTTGAAACAATACAATAATTTATTTAAAGTTAATTAGATTAGTGGTATTTAAGAGTAAGCCAATAGATAGTCTTTATTCCTCTGTTTTCAGATTTGTAATGCCCTGTTGCAGTGATTCATAGAACCAAAGAATGGCTGAGGTTGGAAGAGACCTCTGGAGGTCATGTGGTCCAACCCCCCTGTTCAATCAGGACCACATCTAGATGGCTTTTGAATATCTCCAAGGATGGAGACTCACAACCTCCTTGGTCAATGTGTGCCAGTATCAGTCACCCTTACAGTAAAAGTGTTTCCTTTTGTTCAGATGGACCCTCCTATGTTTCAGTGTGTGCCCATTGCCTCTTGTCCTGTCACTGGGCTCTGACGAGAGCCTGCCTCTGTTTTCTTTACACCCTTCCTTCAGGTATTTATATACATTGAGAAGATTGCCCCTGAGCCTTCTCTTCTCTAGGCCAAACAGTCCAAACTCTCTCTTGGTTGATGTTGAGCAGATAGGTTGATGAGCTTTCTTCTTAAAAAGGCCTGACACTACATGTTGCAAGGCACTGTGGATGTTGGTTGGACTTGATTCATATGATGTATGTATCAGCTGATAACGTATATATCCATTTTGTATATTGTATTAAGAGAAAGCTGTGCAAAGCTTGACAGATGTTAATCAATGAAAGTTTTTACAACTGAATTAAAGTTAGTTGTTATAAGAAGCATAAATGTAGTTGAATCAAGGTAATTCTACACACAGAGGAATGATGGATAAACTTAGCACTGTAATTCATGGTTTTGGTAATACGAAAAGATGAAGTGTTTGTCTTTTCTGTGGAAGAGTAAATTAAAATGACATTTGTTGTTATTTATATGCAAATGCCATATGCTTGCCATATTTCATATCTGTCTTCTTATTACTTTACCATGCCCAATGGCATAAACCAAGCTGTCGCGACTGAGTGGTTTAGAGGCCGCCCAAAGAATCACCGTCAAAGATACTAGCAGGAGGGGATTTTAATAGAGATTTATAAAGGTGCGACTTAACAGAGTTCGATGGCAAGGTTCACTCTATTATTTACTACACAGAGGAAACGTATAAAGAAAAATCATGTTATGTCTTAACAGTTTATATCTTAGAGATTATATGTATTTAGCAGCAGTCTAGGGTTCATTGACAGTTTTAGCAGCACTTAATCATTAACTAATCATTAACAAACTTTAGCAGCACTTAATCATTAACTAATTCAATATTTATGAAGTAAATGTTAGTAGAGCCTACTATAATCACGACTTAATTACAGATTATGCTTACTCTTAGTTCACACAAACACAGACAGAAATATATATATATAAAAATGTACAAAAGGTACCTGTTAAAAATCGAGGTTGGTGAAGAAGTATTCACATAAAATGTCTCAGCATTTCTTAACAGGCGAAGGGTTGAGTCTCGAGGAGTGAAGCGTTTCAGCCTAGGTCCCGTCATACGACAGTCTTCTGAATATCACAGACTCCAGAGGCTACAAGCTCTGAGAGGCGTCCCACTCAGAGGGAGATGCTGGGCACAGCCTGCTGCTGTTCCGAAGAGCTCAAAGGACCACTGTTTATAGGTTTCCAAGATGATTGGCTTTAGTCATCTGTAAATTTCCATCCTGGTCACAGTCCCAGGTGTAATTACTAAAAAGTTCTCAAGGTTTCAGTGTTGTTCCACTTGAGCTACAACTCAGATAAGATGACACCTGGGCCAGGCAGTAGGGGTACGTTCCCAGCCTCAGCCATGCAGTGTTTTTGTTATGGTCAAGGAGCGCTCAACTTCCAGACTCAGTACACGAAGGCCAAGGTTTCGCAGGAATTTCTGAGATCAACACGCGGCCCAGGAGACGGGGGCGGGGCGGGGGG